TCTGGCGCCAAGTGAGGCGCCAGATTCTTTCCTAGGTGTCTGAGTTGGTGTCTCCTCTCCAGCAGGTTTTCATCTATACTTTCAGACTCAGAAACTTGTTTGTCTGATGCGTCCATATGACATCAGCGATCTTGAAGATTATCTTACAGTCATATGAGACTTTAGAGTCTACAAACATGGCTGACAACCTGCAGGGAGCTGTGACAGTTGCACGGCTACATGTTGCACGCTGTTAGCAATTTTTGTCCAACTCCTCCCCTTAATAGTTATGACTGTGGGATGTTTTACTTACCGGACAGGTTGAATAAACACTCATGTCATTGCCTTAAATCAGCAAGTTGTTCCTCCAATTCTAATACCTATCTACCGTTATGCTTTGTTTTCACTATTGTGGCCATCAATGGATTCCTTCTGATTAGCTTTTAATGGGAACTCCAGCCTAGCAAGTGAAATGGCCTCATTTCTAGTCAAAATATCTCATTACACTTGAAAGAAACCTGAAATGTCTAGAAAAAGATTATTATCTCATGACATTACAAGCCAAAACTAAATACTTCATTGCTTTATTAAACACATTTATCTTCAACGCAGCAGGTAAAATTTCCCGCTAAGTGTTTTTAGACATCATCAACAAATTTTTAGCTTCAGTTTCTTGAAACATGACTTCTTTCTAGACTCCTCATGTGACTTCTAAGAGATATTTTGATGAAAAACCGATTTGAGTTTCTGCAGTGGAGTTGGTCTTGGTTTCGAGATGATTATAATCTTCAAATCTTTGCACCTCTAACATGCTGGACTTTGTGGTGTGTAATCACCTTCCAGAGATCTACAAGCCACTCGTGGACAGCTGTCGTTCAGGCAGCCACAGGCACAATCTCTCCATTGTGCCTGACGAGCAGCTGGCGTAGTGCAGGAATGCCGACACACCATGAATCAATCACAGCCCCTCCTTAGTGGACGAGACCTGGGCAGTGATATGGACTGATCCATGACAGCTGAGACACGGCTCTGCGGCACCATAATCCTCTTAAAAGGCTCTACTTTCACTGCGGCTGAACTGAGATGATCACATAAAACAAAGCTCTTTGTAACGACATACCCCGAACAAAATCAAGCCACCGTGATGAGTCATATTCACAGTCTGACAGTCTGAAATGGGTCCAGTAAACCAGAGACTGTATAAATAGCTGACGCAGCCACTGTGATAGCATCCACTGGTTCGTTGTCAGCTTTTACAGAGTTTCGAGTGAAGACGCTTTACTGCCAGTCTTTAGATGTTTGACCAAAAGAGACAAGAGGGTGAAGCTTGAGAGGCAGAAACTAAAGAGTCTTACACACTGACAGTTCGAGGCAGGATATTTGCATCCCTTTGTAAACAGTCATCCCGTGGATACAAAGGGGGTAATGGGAGAGACGATGTTGGTAATGTGTTGCATTGGAGCCAACAAGGCAGAACAGCTCTGTGTGTGTGCAAGCATAAAGCTAGGTTTGGCATTGACTTGTGCTGTAGCTTTTATCGCCTACACCATCATGAACACGAGCAGGGTTAGAGTATCTGCAATGCTCTGCCGTACTCTTCTTATTTGTTAATAGGATACCATGTGGAATCAACGGGACTGTGCTTTTGGAATTAAGGACACTTGACCGATCAAAGGGCTTTTGGTCTGCATTGTTTCAGCATAGAACTATATTTAAGTCAGACAGTGTACAAAGGCAAAAGTACAAGTCCACATAAACCTTTGGCATTTGTTCCACAGTGGTAAAGATCAGGCTTGAACATCTAATTTTGTTGTACACTGTATGCAACATTAGAGGCTTCAATTTATTACATTACATCTTGTCCCTGGCTTTATTTGTTTACTTCCAACAGGATTGCAGTGAGCAACTTCAGTAATCACAGCATCTCTTTGTGCGTGTGGCTGACTCATTTGCTGGCTAATGAACCAGTCAACCATTGTGCATTTACCAGCATGTGATTTAATTTGTGATGGTAGCTGACTTAAACTGTATTTCAAGAATGTGGCGGACTAAAACGCTCCATCAGATTCACCAGTGAGAAGGACTGAGGAGCAAAACAACAAATACATGACAACTTATCATGAGGACTGGCTAACAAGACAGGAATGTCTCAATTAGTGCTTACATTTAAACAAAACAATGCCATGACTTGACTGAGGGCAAAAACTGGACAAGAGGCTTCTTTAGTCCAATAACAACCACACAAAGACAGATTGTTTGTCTGATACTTGCAGGGAAATCTCTGTAAAGGCTTCAACACCAAAAAACCCAGAGGTTAAAGTTCAGTGACTTAATTAGCTGAGGTGATGCCTATCTGTTCCCACCTGTCACTCAAAGAGGCCACACCCCTAATTATGCATAAGTCGAAGCATTAACATGAACAGCTTAAAACATTTCTTCCGGTGAACAGTTTGAGCTCAGAAAGGGACAGGGAGCACGTTTTTTTGCATAGTTTTAACATGGGGCCTTATTGGGATTGACTCACTTTCGGACACAGCCTCAAGTGGCCAGATAAGGAACTTCAGCTTTTCCTTTTTGTAAAACTGTCTTTATGGGCTCTATGCACAGCTCCACTACTTCCTGAACTTAAAGCAGCTCCTTTATTTCTTGTCTTACATTATTGCACAAACTGATTAATCCAGGTGTGACTGACCGTTGTGACTACTCAGACACACCTGGATTAATCAGTTTGTCCAATAATGTAAGACAAGAAATAAAGAAGCTGTTTTAAGTTCAGGAAGTAGTGGATCACTGCATAGAGCCAGTTCCTCAGCCTTGGAGGTTGCCTCTGGAATCAAACCCACTTTTTGGGATTCCCCATGAGTTGTTCACATTTATTAATGGCGCCGTCACAGTAGGATTTGGGCAGTTATACCCATTTGAAGATCTGCTGGCGGCTGTTTTGTTCTTCAGACCGGGCATGATGCCCAAAAGCACATTCTTACAAACTGACTGCATTTATCTGGAAAAACTTCATGATGATGGAGGACCGCTCTGCATGTCAAAAAGAAATTCATACCCGACGACTCCTCCATAACTCTTCAATCACACACCGCAGTAAGCTGAGATTGATTTGCTGATGAAAACTCTGGTGTGTCTCCAAGCTAAGTTCCAGTCAGTGTTTCTGTGCAACATTTTAAAAAACTCTGTAACAAAACTCTCAGATCTCTAGAGATGCTTTTGGAGCTGGTAGTGATTGACACGTCCTCATGGAAACAGCCAGCACGGAGAGTCAGCCCCAAAGAGCTCTAAACCAAGCTGACTGGATCATCTGGTCTTGTTATCTGACCAACAACACCAGTGTGGGATCACGGTCTAATACATGCAGGAGTCTGTGAGTTTGGGTGTGTGCAGCCTCCTGACCTCATCTGCAATGTAAAACATGTATGACAGCGCCATCTACTGCCATAGATATGTAAATATGAAGTTAAATTAAAGATCTTCAACAATGGAGACAGAGGTCTGTTCACAGCTGAATCTTCCTCTTTGAATATCTTAGTCTGTTCAGGCTGAACCTTTTTGACCTGTGGCTCTCTGAAAACAACAAATATCTGCTTGTTGCTTCTCACTGCAAATCTGTACATGAACTGGAAACAGTGAGCAAACCCCCATAAAATTTTCATCACCAGCTAATGTGAATAGGCTCTACAGATGCTGCTTTTACGTGTCGAGACTGAGACTACGGTAGTGGGACATCAAAGATGTTTTGCAAGGAGTCCCATAGCAGGTTAAACCTGACTGACTGCTTTAAAAAAACAGGAAAGTCACCTTTCTGTTGAGAATGTGAAGAATCCGAAGAGGACAAAATCTCAGTATGAACAATGTAGGGAAGAATGGGGTAAGTTAAGCCAAAGGGTAAGTTGAGCCACCCCCTGTTGCTTTGAAATGGTAAAAGAAATTGATCGTGTGACCAAATATTTAGGAGATGGGCATCAATTCATGGAGTCTGTGAAGGTTAGAAGCACATGGGTGAAGGAGTGAGACATTTATTTCCAAAAAAAAACATTTTTCACTCTTGAAAGTGAATTTGGTCTGTCATAAGTTTTATTAGAATTGTGTTCAGACCAAATAAGATCATTTTGAATTAGTTTTATACATTAATTGTAGTATCTATGAGCTACAACATGAGGTCAAAAACCCTAGCAATAAAAGTCCTCCATTTTAGCTTAGAGGACTAATAAAGTCATAATAGTAGTTCAGGGGTAAGTTGAGCCATTTGGCCTGGGGTAAGTTGAGCCAGAAGCTCAACTGAGAAAGTAAAGTAGTCTGATGAGAGGATCAGAGTTTCAGTTCAGATTGTTGAAATGTTTTAATTTTTCCTTTCAAAAATACAGCTGTGAATGTTCTGAATCGCTTAAAGACATTTTCATGTTAAAATGACTTTTTACAAAACAGCTTTTTAGCAGTTATATGCAATAAAAAGAAAAAGAAAAGAACCAGTTAAATAGTGCATAATAGATAAAATACACATGAATGTAAAGAAGTGACTGTTATTTAGGGAGAGAGAAGGTGAGAGAGAGTTGGGGGGTAGTAGGGATACGGCTCAACTTACCCCACTCCTATGGTCATTTTACCCCATACACAGGGTAAGTTGACCATAGGAGACCACTTTTTTGGCATGCAATATTATCACGACAGTTCTGTTTACACTCATTCTGTTGGTTTTCAGGGATGCATAACATCTCGAAATATATGCAGATACACTAGTTAGAGACAAAACTATGATTGCCTTGATGTAGTGATCTGAAATATGAAAAATAGCTCATCTTACCCCACTCTCCCCTATACCAGATTTGCAAAGCATGCACAGGGGGAAAGGATATTTTCTGTTGTGTCTTATTTACAAAGGTTTCACACAAATCAAGACTGGATTCTTCCTGACTGATGTTACAATTGGGACATATGACCTGCTTTCACCTGTGGCTGTGTGGGAATAGGTGAGCGTTCCCTCCAGTATCAGTTTCAGCCGGTAGGGGGCGCTCGCGGCTGCTTCTCCTCCTCTCAGCACGTCACGAGGGAGGCTCCCGGTGGATAGCGCTGCTGCCTGTCTACACACCAGTTTACCCCGACCTACTCAACCCGAAGGTACAGACATCTAATCCTTTATTTATGGTATTATCCGGCAGCTAAACGCCCTCTAACTCCACGGGGACGTTAAATGCACGCTGTTGCGTTTAAGTCTTGGCCGTTTGTCTCCTGTTTAGCTCACGTTAGCGAACCGATAGCTAAAGAAGGTAGCCTCGAGATTAGCTTTGGCTAAGCTAGCAACAGCTTCTACCGGTCGGTTGTTTATCAGACAGTGGGGTAGGTGGTAAAGTTAAACGGTTTTTGTTGAAGTTGACACTCGGAGAAGAGTCTAAATCTGTTATATTAGCAGGTTTTAAAGTGTTTGTCGGATTGTTATCAGCTGTATGAGGCGTTGACTGAGTGTTGTGACCGTGCTCCAGCTTAATGTCATCACTGTTGGATTAGCTTTATTAATCAATAATCTCTAAATCCATTATGTCTGCTGCTCACACAGATCTGTGCACTATTGCGCATTAGTTTCGCTGTATCCTGCAGTGTTGGCTCTGTCTGCTGAGTGAGAGTGAGTTTAGCATCTCATAAACATCATCCTCTTGGAGGGTGAGGAGGCTGTGAATGCTGCTCCTCAGATCCCACACAGATATGCTCCTGTCTTTAAAGAGTCCTTAAAGAGCTCCTGTGAGGAGTTTTTGTCGAGTTGTGTCCCAGACTGAAATGAACCAAAATGCCCCTTTATGGCCTACAAAATCAAGCAAGACCATCTCCAACAAGACTGCTTCTGCAAGAGAGCAGGCTTCAGACTTGGTGACTGACAGGTTCCCATAGGAATGTACTTTTCTGAAAACTTTAAATAGTTTCACACAATCATGCTAATTTAATTCAGGTAGATCAGCAAGATATGAGATACTTCTTTGTCTGTAGGGGGTGCCAAAATTGAAATGGAGTTTAAAGTGCTGTATTTGTATCTTTAGCTGTTCTAGTTTAATATTAAAAAACTGTTTTTTGGAGGCAGCAATGGACTAAGTATGCCCCGATACCAGATTTTTGGACTTTGCAAAATGCCAGTTAAACTCAACCCCTGTGGATACCTAAAAAAGTTAATTTTGTTCATTAAGTTTGCTTGGTTCACAACTTGCTTCACAAAGACACTGTAGCTTATATACAACATGTAACCAAATTAAAATATTACCTCTGAATCATCATGCATAATCCACATAAAGGAGGTGCCTATTAAGGCCCGACCGATTTATCGGCGGGCCCATTAAATCGGCCAATTTTAGCCTGTTTAAAACGAATTTGTAATCGGCCAAAACTCACTGATTTTTGCCGATATTTTCAGAAATAAAATGCAGAGAATGAGATTCGGTCTGAAGCAGGCAGGCAGCTCAGGGACGCACGGAGGAGAGTGGTCTCAACGGTAAATAAACCAGTTTGTGAAGTAGACAGTAAGTCAATAAGTTTCAGTTCAACCCACTTCACGATGTTCCCCGCTGTGCTCGTCTCGGTCACGTCGAGTTAACTGTGAAGCACCATGTAATATGCAAGCTAAAGTTAGAGTTAGCCACCTGCTGTTAGCCTTGCTACACTGTTAGCCGTGCCAGTAATGGTAGAATAAACAACAATACAAATTACGTGATAGAGCCACTTCTCTTACTGAGGCAACTGCATGTCTCCAGATGAGACCGGACTTGACATGAGTAACGTGAGTTAAGACGCAGAGGCACCGATCAGCGGTATATCTACATACTGTTGATATCTACAGTATGTGTATATATATAATAACTGAGTAAAAAAATTAAAAAATCAGCCGATTAATCGGTAATCAGATTTTTTCCCCCCTAATAATCGGTATTGGCATCAACCCCAAAAAACCCACATCAGTCGGGCCCTAGTGCCTATGACTACAGAGAATGCCCTATGTTTATATTTAGTAATTTTCTTACCATTGCTGTCAGTTAATGGGCTGTGAAGCTCCCTGTCTGCAGCTGAGGACTGTTAAAAGACACTCAGGGTCCAAGTGACACTGCTGTCTCTCTCCTCTGCTCTCTCTCTCTTTCTACAACAGACAGAACCATAACGTGTGAGTCTGTGTGAGATGCAGGTAGAAGGAGAAACACAACTTCAGCTGCAAACAAACCACATCCAGTATGTTCCTGCTTGCTTGTGTGAGAAGCTGAGTTTTTTTGGTTCCTCAGAGTGAGACTGCTGTGAACCAGTCAGAAAATAACTTCTTGTTTTATTGCTTTGTTTGCATCCCCGGTGCGCTCTCTCACTTCAGTTTATCTCTATGTTGATGGACCACTGCTGCTCTCCTTCTCTTGTCATCGGCTCACAGTCGCTCCTGACTGAAAATTTAAGTGTAGATATCTTCACTCTCATGCTTTTCAACACTATCAAATCTATTTGATTGTATTGTTTTAAAATTTCAAAGCATTGGGGATTCTGACAACCTCAGTCTGCAATGTCATTGGTCCCCAGATAGGCAATCAGTTTGGAGCAGCTTGGGTTTAGATGGATAGATAAAATGATAAAAGGACCAAACTTGACAAGAAAAGTAGGGGATGACATTTATAATTTATAACTTTATAGCTGAGGGATTAAAAATATTTTAGATAGAGGTTAGTTTTACAAGGAGGTTAAAATGTCAATACCCAGATGGTGACAGGAAATTCACAGGAAATAGCATGTCAATAGAAAGCTGACAGTCTGTTAGTTAAATAAGACACTGCTTCACACCTATTATCAAAGTAGATATTGAGACAACTCTTTACAATTACAAGGGTATTCATTTTTAAAGGGCTCACAATGAGTTATTAAGTGTCTTTCGGGTTTGCTAGTAGGCCTTATTTCCAAAAGGCTCCAAAACAGCTCTTCTACATGCTTTGTTTGATGCTTGTGGGTCACCATAAAGGCAAAGCTTGTAAATCATCAGACAGCATTTTACTGCATACATGACCGTTCTTGCTTATATGCTCCAAGACAGCCTTGCATACCTGTGTAATGAGCACACCCTGCAGTGTGTTTGAATAGTAGGTCACCCAAGGCTAAGGCTGTTTTCCTCTTATGCCCTCCAACAGCATGTTTCAAAACACCGACTTTACCAATACTGATTGTGATATGGTGAATATTTGTTTGCCTGTTGAACAGATCTGGCCTGTGTTGCTCCCAAAAGATATTTGTGCTCCGAATAGATAGTGAAATGAATGTGAAAGGGTCTTCTGGGGGTTTATTTTTAAAAGCAAACAAAGGTTGAAGGTCAGCAACAGAGGGAGTCATTGAGACAGAAAAAGCAGGGGCACATAGGGTGAGGTTTACTTGTTTTAAGAAGCTGCAGGCTGGTGAGTAAATATTAACCCACAAATTTTGTCGAATTTGCTCCCAAAGCGCTTTGCAAAACATGTAGACATATAGGGGTTACATTAAGACTTCAGAAATTAAGCCTCGAATGTTGTCTGACCTGATAGTCGAGCTTAGCATCATACAGTGCTTATCACAACAGGTTTCAGTGACGCAAACTCCTTATGTTAAAGACCATTCCTGGCCCTCTCCCTCAGACTCTCCTTTGTGCCTGTGCTGATTATCAGAGGAGACCTATTATACTCATTTTCACCCTTTATTATGCCAGCCTGAGACACCCAGAAAGCAGCTTCTCTTAATCTGTACTCTCTAAAACTATATATCTCTCCCGGCGCCCTTGAAACCCCTAATTTCAGCACCATTCAGCCTTTGATATAAAGGTGAGATGCAGTTGTGGGTGTTACATTTCACACAACTTTATAGTCATGAAACAACCCAAAGATAACGGCCTAACATCGAGGCTAGGCGTTGGTGCCAACATCAGCTCCCTATTGTATGTTACCTATTGTTACATTACCTGCTGTTACTTACAGCGAGTTTCAGTTCCAGTTGAGATAAAATGTATAAGCAGACACACACACTGTTTTTTGGTGTCTTTTCAAATTCTGCACTCTCCTTGTGAATGGTGTGATAATAAATACACAAACAAACATATAGAGTAACATGTTTGGCTCCTCTAAACTACATATTCACTGTTTTTTCAGCTCCTCTGCCAAAGAGCACTTGTATGACCTTCATATAGGGTGCCGATTTGAAGCACTGTGCTCATCATTCCCCAATCTGACATGTTGTGAACCGTCACAGTGAGGTAATTCTTTTGCCTGCAAGGTCCAACTACCTGCTGTGATGTCGGGAATTACCTCAGTGCAGAAAAATGTGAAACAGGGCGATTTAGGATGTGAGCTGAGTGTTTTTTGTGAAACAAACAAGTCCCACACCTCCAACCACAACCGGAAAACAGCTGCAAATCCTTGGCAATGAACACCCCACTATCATTGATATGTTTTTGTGTCTGTGTGTTAGAGACAGCCTGACTTTTTGATAGTGGTGTTACCTGCACAGCTATCCTGACAGGAGTGTTTCTACGGTGTTTGAGTCTACGACATGTTTGAAACAGTGTTTGCTGGGTTTCTGTATGTCTTTGCATAAACTTAGAAAGACTATAATTCATGAAATTTAGAGTAATATGCAAAACCTAAACTTACAAGTGCATATTAAACTGGATGCTTTACCAAATGCTTTAGTGTTTTGTCAAGATTTGTCACACACCTCTAAGGCACAGCACAAAATTCTGGATCGTAACTCTCCTTTATGACTTGTTTCTGCAGATTTGAGAATAAAAAAAACTCATATACTTCAGAAAGGCTGCAGAGCTCTTTCCAGATGTGCTCATTTAGAGTGTCTACTCTCGAGAATTTATCACATTTGCATGTCTAGCCAATCATGGCTGCCCAGCTGCCAACACAACCAAATGACACTTTCTTTTGAATAGATAAGAAACAGACTTGCTTTATAGCACATCCGAGTTTCAGAGGACTGTAGGTAAAAGAAAAAGTAATACAGCGTGTTCCCAAGAGGGTGCATATTTATTTGAAAGGTTCTATATTTAGCACTTTTGTAGTGCAGTTGGAGGGTACAGAGATGACAGTAAACAGAAAGACAGAGGAGTGCTAGTTGTAGGTCTAATCACTTCTTAAAATACTCTCCCGGTGTAGATAATACGGGGGGGTTTGTGAGCCTGTCAGCAGCAGCAGCAGCAGAGTTACTCTGAGCACGGGAGGACACATAGTTCCCCTTTTGTGTTTTCCTCGATTGCCCCTCCTAGTTTTCCCTGTTGTTGTCCTAAGCTGAGTCTTCTTCCTCTCATTGTTGTGGTCACAGGCATCAATGCTGCTGGCTTGATGGGATCCAAGCGGGTGACAGAGTGATGGTCTAGGGACTGGCAGTCCTAGAGGTGCTTGCGCGTGGAATGTTGCGCTGGTCGGTGCACCTAGAAGGAGGGCCGCGGAGAGTCAACCATGCTGCTGTGGCGGTGGGACACAAGGTGTACTCCTTCGGAGGTTACTGCTCCGGGGAGGACTACGAGACACTCCGACAGATCGACGTGCATGTTTTCAACACAGGTAGGTGCAGAATTTATTCATTTATAAAGTTTCACCTGTGAAAACGCCAAACAGTTTCCTGGTTTTGGCAGCTTGACTTGACAGTACTCGCAGCTATTTTGGGAGCTTTGTTAACAAGCGTTTTGTAGTTAGATGATCTGAAGACACCTCCATTTTTAGAAAAATACAGTTAAAATAAGTAGGTCTAAAAAATATTACACTAGGAAGTGAAAGGCCTTATTATATTACATCAGATAAACACTAAAACCCCCAAAATAAAAATGTAAAGTTAGCCAGACTAGGTTTCTGTCTCTACTCAGCTTATTTGCTTTTTTAAAGTAGGTCAAAAGTCATTCCTCTTTGTGTAATGAAGCGCTTGTGTACTTTTTTATTTTTTTTCAAATTATTGGAGAATAAAGATAAGGCTGTGTTTACAGAGTCTGTTGAACTTTCATCATTTTATTGCCTGGTTGTCAAACACAACCTTTCTTTAACCGTATTTTTTAGCCTTATTTTTTCTGTCAGTTGTTTTCTGTCACAGCGTCACAGATACACGTTTGTCCTGTAGATGAGATTCTGTCTCTTTTGTAAACCTGCTCCTTCTTCTTCTTGTCACCACTTCAGGGTTTATTTTTCCCTCGCCGCGGTTATCTACCTGCTTTATGGTTTTACAACTTCCTTAAGTAGCTTGAGCCTACCTGCTGTTTCATTACCATGGATGCAAACCTTGATAAAAGTGTCTCTGACTGATTGAAGTGGAAATAAGACCACCTTAAACCATTGTTTGAGGACTTTATCATGTCACTGTCTTTGTGCTGCTTCTCTTTGATGTCTTTTTTATAGCCCAGTCTGCTGTATTTAAAATCCTTTGATATATTTCTGTCCCCCTTTTATTCGTCGAACTCTTCAGGCACTTTTCACAATCTTTTTGAACCTTTTGAATTACTTCAGATTTATAACTTTTACTTAGTGAGCAGGATTCCTTCTTAGATACAAAACACTTTTGCATGAGATGGTGAAGAATTCAACAAACAGAAACCCAGCAATGAGACATATGTATGCACCGGTAAAATGATCCTTAAATGTGTTTTATAATCCTCCTAAGATTATGCGGCAGCTGAAGATAAGGGGGCTGCCTTATATAGAAAGTTAAGGCTGTTTTCACACCTTTGTGTTTGTTTTGTTTTGTTCTGATGCATTATCACATTTTCACCCTGCAGCATAACAAAGTCAGTCAAAGAACATATAATCAGGGGGCTGTTCTGTATATCATTCTAGCTCATACTTCAGCGGTGAAGATAACCAAAAGCTGTATGTACTAGTTGCACTATAATAGTGGAAAGCTGGCATTTTGGTTTAAATAGCCACCCTTTAATCAAGTGACTATCAGCCAAAAGATGAGAACAACCCATCTAGGTAGTTTGCCCTGAAGTTGTGGCCCCGCCCCCTTTTGTAATAACGCTGTCAATCTGAATTGAGAATAGGAAAACTGTCTTTTTTAATGGTTGTTGGGCAGCTGAATCTAACAGCCACTAAGCCAAGTTTATGTGTTTTCCTCACAGGCCGTTAGAGTTGGACTCTCAGTAGTTGTTACATGATACAGTTTTCTTATTTTAGGCTGTTTAATTGCCCCAAACCCTGGAATGTGGCAGCTGTTGTCATGGTTACGACAGCTGATGAAACATAAAAAGACTCCTTGTGAATAGATCTCTCTTCAGTATTTTATAAACATTAAGTGATCACATGTGTTTTTAATAGAAAACTAACTGCAGACTCAACAGACAGTCACCACTTGACAGGTTCACCATTTACGCTGTCGCTGTATTTTTGGTCTTTATTGTCTAATTTAAAAGAGTTCTATAAAACTTCATTAACCCCTTCTTCTTCCAGTGTCTCTGCGCTGGATGAAGCTGCCTCCTGTGAGGATGGGAGGACACGAACGCGCCCGTGAAGTGCCATATATGCGCTATGGCCACACAGCTGTGCTGCTGGATGATATTATCTACCTCTGGGGTGGGCGTAATGACACAGAAGGAGCCTGTAATGTGCTTTATGCCTTTGATATCAGTAAGTAAAAGCTGTGTCTTATCCCTTCTGTCAGTCATTGTTTCAGTCTGTGTTTCCCTGGAGACGCATTTGTTTGATGTTGAAAATTGTTCAGGTGTTTAAAATTGTTCTCCGCCGTTTTGACGTCAGGGAGTTTTAACACCTGCTTTTATACGTGGTGGTTTCCTATTGCACATTACTCGAGAGTTAGTTCACCACTGTAAGTCGAGAGGAAAGGACCCTGGGAAGTGTGCGTGGAGTTAATAGAAACCTTCCTGCTTCACAGACACCCACAGGTGGTTCACGCCCAAGATTTCTGGGACAGTTCCAGGGGCCAGGGATGGTCACTCGGCCTGCGTCCTGGGAAAAGCAATGTACATATTTGGAGGATATGAGCAGCTGGTGAGTCTTCATCACTCGTCACTATGTGTGTGTGTGTATGTGTGTTTGTGGGGTGGGGAAGCCCTGGACACTAGGCGTGATTTAATTTATGTCCTCTTCTGTTTTGTAGGCTGACTGCTTCTCCAATGACATCCACAAGCTGGACACCACAACCATGGTTTGGTCGTTAATTAATGCCAGAGTGAGTTTTGACATTTTGTTCAGTCCATACAAAGATTTCTAAGTGTTGAATATTCAAGTTCAAACTGAATTGGACTCACAGACCTCAGTTAAAGACTCACAACAAGCTCGGTTACTATCAGAGTAACGTTTGAAATAGTCGGGTTGTTGATGCTGCTAGATGAGCGCCCAGTGGTCAGATTGGCTGGAATCAAAAGCAGTGCTGTGTAATACGGCTCCCTGGTAGGTGGCCAAATACAAAAAGCCTCACAGAGGATTATATACACTGCCCTTTTGGGAAATGCCATTTGTGTTTGTGTGCAGCCAACCTGCTCATGTGATAAATTCTTGTTAAGTATATTTTAGACCTAGACACCGGTCTCTAGGGTGAGCGGGCAAACTGGTGAGAGAAGGACTCAGTTCACAGCACCTGGTTTTAGTTATGAACTGATACCATTTTGTCAACAGGGGGATTACGTTGTGGTGCTTACAGATTTAGTCGTGCACGTGACTGAGAAATACATTTCTCTGCATGTTGTTCAACCAGCAATCCTTAATGAAAACAAGACCAGCCGCTGTGCTTTAGCTTGAACCCAGGACTGGGTATCAATTCAGTTTTATCAAATCCTGCTCTGGTTTTGTTTAGAATCCATTATTTTTGGTGCATATGGAGAAAAATTCAAATGGTGTTAGTTTTGGCGCCCCCCTGTGGACAAAGCAGTTCTTGCATATTTTGTCCTGCACATGCTTGAGTAGACTTTTTACAAAACCATCTCATCCTGCGGGCAGTTTATCACTTATCATAAATATTTTGTGTGTTTTAGGCAGTAGAAATGACGCCTAATTTTGACCTGATCTTAAATACATTTTCTTTTTATTGTACTGTTTTCTATTCTCTTGGCATTTCCCTAAAAATGTTACACAGATATATTTAGTTTTCATTATTATGATTGGAGACTTTGCACTTTTATTTATGATGCATTTTGATAGCATCTTTATATTCGTGAGATCTGCTGGATTATATTTAGAGGTAATTGTTCATATTGTACAAACATTTTTTCTCATTTTTCCAGTAAAGACAGCCAGAAAAAAAATTAATTTCACTTTATGTGTGCTCTCTAAATTCTCTACTCAGTAAAGACCTTGACTTTTGAGAGGTTGGTGGTGCCCCAAAGTGACTGGATTTGATATGCAGTTGACAAGCCAGTCCACTTGATGGCACTGTTTCCCTAGATTGCAAGTATTGAAGCCCCGGTTTTTACACACACATTCAACATGAAGTTGGAGCTTTATCCCAAGGGCTGGAGAGCTAATGACCAGAAATATTTGATGAGGTCTGGTTAAAAGTTTGAGAAATGCAGTAAGAACCCAAGCAAACTGAGACTGGTCTCCTTTTCTCAGGGCAATCCTGCACGCTGGAGAGACTTCCACTCAGCCACCATCATCGGGACAAAGATGTTTGTGTTTGGAGGGCGAGCAGACCGCTTCGGTCCCTTCCACTCCAACAACGAGATCTACTGCAACAAGATCAAAGTGTTCGACACAGAGACCAACTGCTGGCTGAGCACGCCATCAGCGCAGCCGCTGCCAGAGGGACGCAGGAGTCACTCAGCATGTGAGACACTAACACACACACAGACACACACACAGCATGATTTGTTACGAAATAGCTATGTATAGTATCAGAAACGCCTGTTTTTAGTTCATCTGTCACCTGATTAGTATGGATCAATCAGGTATCAGTTCTTGTTTTTGTCTGCAGTTTATCTTTCCCCAGTTTTTAGTCTCTTATCATCTTGTGTTAGTCAGGAAAAAAAGTTTGTTGATGAAAACTGTTGTTGAACATCAACTATAGGCGACATGAAAAATGTTGCCCATCCATCACAGAGACATCTATTGTTGTCAGGCGACAGCTGAAGGCTTCTGAGGCGATGAATGACAGTACCATAGGCTCCCATAACCTGCAGCTCATTGGATCCCTCAGGCCAATCATCTCTCTAATTTATTTTTGTCTAAACGGTTTAAAGCGCTTTACTTTAAATGAAGTTTCCTCTTTGTGATGAGTCATTTGTTCACAAACTGCAGCCCATCTTTAGCGAGACGTTTTCTCTGTTTTGTTATCTAGCCTGGCTGTTTTTTTAATTGTTTGTGTTGAAGAGAATAAACAACATTATTCATTTCACATTTACTCAGTACAAGATTTCATTTTCTGCTCCCATTGACAGATTAAACTAATCCAGCTAATTAAACTTGTTCACATGGTTTTGTTTTCTGCGCTGAAAATTTCATTAATCTGCAGAACAGACCGTAGAAAATACTGAAATTTGTTTTTCTCTTCTGTTTACAGTCACCTACAACGGAGAGCTGTACATATTTGGAGGATACAACGCCCGTCTGGACATGCACTTCAACGACCTCTGGAAGTTTAACCCAGGTGATTCAGTCTTTGTTCATGTCAGATTAAAAAAAACATTACGTATTGCTGCGGAAGAGTTTCTTTCCTTCACATAGAGAGTTTTTGTTTTTGATGTACTTGTAGGACTGTCCACCTCTGTAGATAAAATGTGCAGTGACAGTGCCAGCTCCTGTTGACCCACTTTCCTCCTCCCTCGTCTGTATAGAGCCGTGAAGACAGTCCTTAATGCCCAGTGTGAAAAACAGACTCTCTGTCTCTCTGCCAGAAACACACAAACAATACTTCAGTCTCTGCAGTCTTAATCTGCTTCGACAAACGTCAACAAATGATTCTCCAGTCAGTTTGTTTGAGAGTGATTTTGAAGAAACTTTTTGCTCTTGTTTTAAAAATACATCATTGAGTTATTTACTACCCATATAGTCAGCAAACTTCATTAAGATACATGTTTGGTTACAGATTAAAGACCCAGAGCGCTAAAAACTCACTTTCTTGATGCATAAAACAGACAACAAAAATCCTGTTAATTGCTGAAATAAACAGTGCACAAAACTGTGATAGATAATAATACTAATCCTTGTTTAAGTGCAGATCACTGACTGTTTACTAAACAGACAACATCTCTTATCTTTGTGAGATGTGAAACCCAAACACCAGCTCTGTGGGCGCTGACATATCGCACCGGTGGAGTGCAAAAGCGGTCTGGCTGCTGGAGCCGCAAGACTGATGTCACACCTCTCCCGCCAAACAAAACACACATTTAACTTTGTGATAGGCTGTCAGAGCTCCCTCAGGTGGGTGCAGTCCACAGCAGAACAGATCTTTGGGCGTCAAGCGGAAACTCACAGTTATGGGGCGTTTAGTGACTCTTATGTTGAAATAGTTACTGGAATAGAAAAATGAGCCGTCAGACACAAATCAAAACACTGAAAACATACTTAATTTGTATTTCACGGTTATAGTTTGACTCATATTGCAGATGATCAGTAGAGAAAGGTTTAATCAAATGTTATCACTTAGTTCAGTTAAGCTGTTGTTCTGCCTTTTGTTTTATACACTCCACAGTCTATGATAAAAAGTTATCACCAATGTGAATACGACTCCAAAGCTTCACTGAATCAAAACTGAAGTGTGCACTGTCATTTCTCATCTCCTGTTTATTTAACCTCTCCAGTTTTGTAGCACCGTATAGTGTTATTTATGCATCATCAGTAACAGACAACTGAAGCCAATGATTATAGAGCTGGTCAGCTGATGGCCAATTTAGTTGCTGATATCACATTGTTGTAGTTTTTATTGTTAGATTCTTTTGTATTTGTATTATTTTGTATTTATATTTTTTTGTATTTTATTTTCAGTAAAAAACATCATTCTATGTACATTATAATAAAATATACATATCTAATATAGCTAGAAACATGTTTTAGATATTTTTTTTGTCATACTTAAAAGAGAAAAATATATCAGATTATGCTTTAGGTCTCGAAACTTGATGGATAGAGTTATTTATATATATTTGCATTTTTTACTGTGTTCCACGACAATAACTCACAGCAGGTGAAAGATTTCATTATTAAAAGGCGACAGACTAACGTTTGGTTTGAAAACAAAACTTATACATATACAGATCAAGAAATGAGAAGTGTCATTTTGTCCACAGGGGGCGCCAGAATTGACTTGAACCAAAGTACCTCACATTCAGATGGAAATAATTGATATAATCCTTTCAGGGGGCATTAAAATTGTTTTAAAACTGCCTGCAGTGTCTGCAGACACCATGTATTATATCAATAAAATAAAATGCCATTAGTCTACCTGATTATTGGGACTATCTCTGATATTTAGTTTGCATAGTACCTGCTCTTGACTCATCAAAAATGTAACATTTCAAAGGGAAGTAACTCAATCTTTAATTTCTTTATTTTGTGTGTAATTTTTATTTGGTTTATTTTGGTTAAAATTCAAAAATTTTCAGCCACTAAATGTTACAAAGATCTACATTGAACCCTATATGCGGTACACTGTATGACAAACAGAAAAGCCATGCTAAGCCTTAACCTTATAATCATCCAATAGTGCCAGTTTATCTTAATAGGTGATCAAGTTGATACTGAGAACCAGAGATCCTCTATTCTCTGTCCACTAGAGGGCAGACTGCACTTCAGCTTAAGCCCTCATTATCCGATGATGTCTGAATGGCCTGTTGCCATAGAGACACAATGATGCTGGTTGCCGTGAGAGTGCGAGACTACACACTTCATCCTTATATGGAACAAGTGTGAGCGCCGCGGCATCATCACTCATATTACACTCCAGCCGAGCAGAGGAGATTTGTTTCTATTTCTGAGATGAAGCGTTTTGTTCAAATGAAGGTTGAGCTTTTTTTTTCCTCCTGCTTCCTCAGCCTTGTGTTTGCAATTGAATGCAGCTGAAGGCTGAATGAAAAATAAAGCTCGAGTAGGTTTATGTAACTTTAAGTGTGTTTAAAGAGCTGCCGCGATGAAGTGCAAACAAATCACATTTTTTCGTACTTGAGAGCCGACTGTTAAGTCGTTGAATGAGAATGCGATTTAAAAGTTCGACTGTCATTTTCAAAGGAGTCTGCAGGCTCTATGCACATATTTCCCCCTTTTGATATTGTCTTTAAAGGGCATGAACTCATCCTTTTCTTGTCTATTGTGTGATCTACAGAAGCCTTTTCTTGGAATAAAGTGGAACCGAAGGGGAAAGGCCCGTGTCCACGGAGACGACAGTGCTGTTGTATGGTTGGAGATCGAATCATCCTCTTCGGAGGAACCAGGTAAGACACTTAATTTACCGCTTATTGAGCTGTACTGATATATATTTTGTATCTGAAAAGATACATTCATGCACCATTGCAACAAATGCACCCAAAATTTTTCTCCTACATGTTTCCTTTTAATTAAACCACTCACTTAGCACATTTTGGTAACACTTTGATTGATGCCTATCTCTATAACGTATTATAAATATATGTATAATGTGTTATAACCACGTTATAGCATTGTATAACTGCAGTTATAAACACTCATAAATGATCATAATGCTTCATAGCAATAATCATAACACATTATAAAGCATTTTATCATGACTCACAAGGTCAGGTATTATAATGTGTTATAACTTTGCTTATAAACTTGCATAACTATCATTATAAACACTCATTAAGTATCATAAGGCCAAAGCATAACACATTAAAATACGTGACCTTGTAAGTCATGATAAAATGCTTTATAATGTATAATGATTATTGCTATGAAGCATTATGATCATTTATGAGTGTTAATAACTAAAGTTATACAGTGCTATTACGTGATTATAACGCATTATACATGTATTTATAATGTGTTATAGAGACAAAGTGTAACCCAAATCGAAAAAATATTATTAAAATATCTTAAAGTCAAAAGTTTGGATGCACTTTGACTTGAACTGCTAATGCTGCTAATGAAACTGCTGATTTAGCTTGCAGAAATTCATGTGCATATTTCTGTGCAGCTACCATCTGTCACATACATACACAAAGACATAATGTTCAATCTAAATAATTTGTAGTAAGCAGTAATAATTTGTCTCTCTCTTATATTCAGTCCGTTAATGTTCTGCCTGTATCGGTCTCCCACAGAGGAGCTGACTGTGATTTTGTATTCTCTATTCAATGCTGTCGGCCTCCAGCTTCTGAAAATTCAAAAAATATCTTAAAGTGAACATTTGGATGCACTTTCCACACTGAGAAGAAGAGAAGTCTGCAATTCAGTTTAGCCTCACTTCAACCAGAAAAATTGTTTGTATAAAAAACTGTTCAGCTCCTGAATCAACCCATCACTACACTCCCAAACAATCATCTACAAAGTCAGTGCAAAAGTAGACATGTGTTATTTCATCGAGTCGGAGAAAACAGATGTTGCCAATGACCTCAAAGCAGAGATAAAAGTTTGTTTGGTTATAGGAATGAAATGACTCATAGAACAAACAAGAATAAAAGACGACACACTGAATTTAAAGTCATCACTAAAGAAGAACTAATTAACTGCAATAAACGATCTAATAAATTCTCTCTTGGAACAAAAACATCCACTAATATCTTCAGGAATTGGCAGGAAATGGGAAACAAGCGCTTGAGTTCTCCCTCTCTTGACTTTTTTAATTGTTTGTCATCATCTCTGTAAAGCTCAGGCTCTCTAAACAAACAACATTCTGGGAAAAAAACTTTGCTCTGGCTCCGTTTTGCCAGTTGGAGGCTCTGGCTCATGCAGGCAGCAGACTGCGCTGAGTCTCTCGTTGGCTGTTAGACGGTAGCCGATTGTAGCCGGGGGGATTGTAGCTGGTTAGGTGCCACTGGGCTGGTGACGGGCCGGTGATAGGCCAGTAGCCAAGGGACTAATGAGGTAGCTAACAGCCTTAGCATGTTCCAGAGAAGTCCGGGAGCTGGGTCGGCGTTATCAAGAGAGCTGTGGGTTATCAGGCGAACCCCACTGGGATAACCTGATAGTGGGGATCGGGAGGCTGCGGATAAGATCCCTCTCAGCCCCACTACGTCTCCTGAAGGCCTCTGTTTGCTGCAGGATTCATTTTTCACTGCTTCATCGGCCACAGCTGCACAGGGGGGCCAGATAGCCTAATACACAAGTTTAATCTTGATTTCATCCGCTGTGCAGCAGAACAAGTGTTGGAGAAAACACAACTCTGATAAGTCTGCAAGTGATTTCAGCCCTGAGAAAAATTCATGCATTTTAGATTTGGTGCCAAAAACATGTTTCAGAAGAGTAGAAACCGGGGAGTGTTTGTCTTTGTGCACAATGTTCTTGCCTGATGAAGGATGGGTGACGAGTCCAGAACCCAGACTGGGCAGTTTAGCACCTGGACTCTTCTACTACAGAGCCATGCTGTTGTTATATGTGCAGAATGTGGTCTTCACAGCCATCCTGTACTTTGTCCCATCTGTACAGGGACTTGTGGATACTCTGTGAATCTTTGATGATATGATGTTCTGTAGACGATGAAATCCACCAGATTTTGCATTTTACACTGAGCGACATTTTTCTGATGTTGTTGCACAGTCTTTCACAGAGGAGTGAACCTGGAAAATGTCTCATCTCATCTGTGAAAAGGTAGATCCTTGTCTTGTAAATGTGATTTTAAAAGCAAACTTGAACATAAAAACCAATAAAAGGAAATGTGCTTTTTATCAGAAGCAGTCAGAAGTCATTAAAGTTAGTTTTTATTCAGTCAAAAGTCAGTTTTTGATATGAAACTGTTGGAGAAGATAAAAATTATTTGTAACGGACGGGAAGCTGGAAAAAAACCTACGTTTTAAGATTGTGATGCATTGTTTGGTTTCTCGCCAGGATTAGTATAGCGCAGGTTTTAAGGAGTCATGACTTCCTGTTGTGAGCAGATAGGGCCGAGGTTGGACGGGAGTCAGCGGGGACACAGGAGTGATGGAGGGAGCTGGCATAGCAGAGGAAGAAATCAAACACCACGAAATATCTCCTACATCCTGTTTAAAGGCTCCAGGACAGATGAGGTTTTTATCTTTTAAAGGAAACAGGGGCCAATTCAGTCCTTCTGCTTTAGGCTGAATATATAAATAAAAATACACTTAAAGGAGATGATTTGGTTTGTTTTTATTATCTCTAAAATGGATGATTTTGCAGGTCAGCATTTGCACAGTTGTCCTAAATCTGCAAAGATGTCGTTTTTCTGTTACTGTACAAATCCTCACAGGCCACACAGGTTCTCTTGACCGGCACGTTTCTTGTTTACATGAGCACCTTTAAGCCTCTTACACACAGGAACTCCCATAAGCACACACAAACTCAGACACACAAACAAACTCCAGGCGGACTGACCCCTCTCATTTGTTTGCTTTTCCTTCTTTAATGAGGAAGTTTTTCTATTTAGGTCTTTATAGCTTTAAGCCATGACTCAAATGAGACTTTTCATTAAGCACGCTTTAATTTAGCGTTCACAATACTTAAAAACCAACCACTTTTGTGTCTTTTGTGTTTATTTTTTGCATGACCCAACAACACGAGGGCAGCTAACAGGCCTAAAAAGTGATTGGTGCCCGTCTTAGTGCTCTTGATAAACGCTCACACAGGCCGTCATGAATTACTCGCCGACACTTTGCTTGTGTTTTTCTTTTGGGGCTCCTCATTTCGGGGGAAATTGTGTTCAGATTTATGGCCCACTTGTTGCTCTCCTTGTTAGTCAACCTTTCATATTGATCCTAAACAGAACCGTCCCGTTGATAAGTCCCCCCTGTTTATGATATTTATTTTAGCTGTGGGTATTTGTGCGAGAATAATCTATTACTTTATTGGAGGACAATAAAACCTTTGGAGCTTAGGGGTTAGACTTTGGACAGGAAAAAAAAATGGTGTTGACATTTGGCCTCATTTACCAATATCCTCTTGTGGTCCACTGGAGTCAAAGTGAAAATAAAGAAGCTTTATTGAAACTGAAGTTAAGCAGTTCAACACTAAAATGTAGATAAGAGTGCTCTGTTTATAGCTAAGAACAAATCCCAGATGAGAAAATTGAGAAATTAAAGAGTTTAGGAATAATTTCCTGCTCAGATCTGTTCATAATTAAGGCCCAAAAAATCTCTAAGTGTTTTTAAATAATCTTGAGTAAAATTATCTTATTAAACTTAGTATGAGCTACATTCATGTTATGAGTCCAGATGAGTCTCATAGGACAAAAAAAGTGTAAGAAAAGAAATCTGCCCATAGGTTGAGAAAAATTAACCTTATCAGTTTAACAAAGTAACCATAAAGTCATAATTACAAAAATTTAACATAAAGAATCCTTTATCCCTTCCTGTAGATTGTTTTTCTCTCAGAACAAACAACATAGACCTCGTATTTTCCTCATGATATGTTGAAATAAGCCACTTAGATACAGCTTATACGAAGTCACCAGGATGTTTTTTTTTTACGAGGAGAAAACCAGAAACACTCGCTCAGTTTGGGGTATCTCTAAAACAAAAATCTCTATCCCAGTATCGACTATTTTTCTGTGTATCAAGAAACAGGCTTTGTCAGAAAATGAGAATATAATCATAGTGTTAAAATATGTTTGGATTTCATAAAAGTGCTTGCCTTTGGTTGGGGCAGGAAAATAACGTAAATCTGGTTCCTTTAATAAGAGCATTCATGATAATAGTTTCACATAAGTCTGAACCAGGATATATATTAAAGTAAGCAAACAGCACTTTCTCCCCCCTCAGCATGTGTTCATTTTGCACACTGAATAGAGACCTGCCTGTTATCTATCATCTACTCTCAGACCAACTGCTTCCGCTTTAAATTGAGAGATAAAAAGTTCTCTGGATGTATTTTGGAGTCAGTAGGAACAACTCATGTATGCTATAAAACATAAAGATAAACCGATAGACTCACACTAAGAATTATACTGTATTGTCCCTTTTTTTAAGCAGTTAGATGGTTTATATTTGTATGTTTTAGCAAGTATGTTTTAATGACAGTCTGTTGAGTGCCACTTACATCAGTGTAAACAGGCCTGCCGAGCTGCAGAAAGGCGCGAAATCCTGCCCCATCTCTGATTTATGACCTCAGGGAGCATTCTTTCTCACAGAGTGCAATTGGATCCACCCTCAGAGGCTCTGCTACACTCATTTACTGAGACCTGCTCACTGCCCCACGAAGGATGAGCCGTGCATGACTAACTCCACCTGCACTGACCTTCACCTACACACCCACCCACAAACAGCAGACCCTAGGAGAGCCTGTTTGTTTGTAACTTCTCTCTCTTACCCTCTGAGGAGTTGACTTACTCTAAATTTGAGCTAAGGTGCCACAAAGATCACGGATCACCTGCAGAGGCTGTGTTGTCATCATTGGCGGCCTCACACTCTGTGTATAATCGCTTACGACAAGCCCACGTCAGGCTAAATTGGGAAACATTTTAAGCTCGGGAACAGGGCATCCCATGAAGGGCAGGATGTGAACAAGGACGAGGCAGATTGGCATGCTGGGAGCAGACAGCTTGGGATTTTGGAGGAAATCTAGCTCTGGCTTTTGAGTTACTTAAATTCAGTGATGTGTATTTTTATCAACATCACATTGAGGTTTCCATTTTGCTGACAGATTTCTTTAACTTGTTCTTTCTTCCTTCTTTCCAGCTGTCTGTATATTTAACACTTAAAAACCAGAACCAGAACCAGAGTTTGTTTTAGTGAAACACAAATGGCACAAATTTTACAATACTCATACTGTACATGCGTTACTTAAAATCCAGTGAAAGAAAAGAAATCTGAGAAAATTGGTGAATAATTTGAAACCTCTCCTGACATATGTGGAGCCTTTAGCAGACTTGGAGGCGGCTGACACATGACTCTGTATGCACTCGTTTCTTCAGTCTGTATATGACTCCTGTCCTCCCCAACATAAGGCCAAGTCAGCCATTTTTGGCTTCTTTTCAAAATGAGAAACTGTTGCTGAAATCCTAAAAAGATCCACAATTTTCTCCACCTGTCTGAGGATTTCACTTCTGCTGACAAAGCTGCCGTTGGTCACTGTGGAGAATTCTGATCGGCTCTTTGGTACACAGGCCTGAGCGACACTTGGACCCTCTCCAGGCTTTCCTTTTTTTATTGTGCCATTTGTGTGTTTGCATGAATCTGCATGTATTGACATGACTTTATGATTCACAGCTGACGTCAGGAGCTGCACATGCTCGCTTATTTGCTCTGCCAGCTTTTGCTCATGTGATCCGTTTGGCTGTAAACGCAGTAGTTTGGTGGATTTAGGAAAGATGTCTGACGCCAGTCTGAACATCAGACGCAGAGACGTTTCTCTTTCGCTTAATTGACCTATATTTATACTCAGGAGATCATGTTGAGTCATTGGTTAGTGTAAATACAGGAAACTGACCAAGGTATAAAACAGGGGAATGGATCAAACTCCTTTAAGAGATTCATATGAAGAAAATATTTTGGTGCAAAGTTAATTTAATTCAAAGGTAAATTCAAGTCATACTTCAGTGCATCCATTGGTGATGAATGGAGTTTGGTAGGTTTAGTATTGCTGACTCATTTTAGAAAATACTTGTTGCTGAAAGCTGATTGTATTTACTGGTTTTCCTGCCATCATTGAGTTTTAATGAGCTTAAACAGGTGAGTGGCTTCTATAGAGACTACACAGCAGGTAATCTCACTAGTAGCCAAAACATCCCAGCCCAGCACCTCTTGTTTAATCCACCAGAATCTCACCGTGATATTTAATCTGGAAGGAATTTGCTCGGTCTTCTCCAAACAGAGTTGTTGAGCTGCGAGCTTCTGCAGCCTGGTGCCTCAATATCACCTACAGGGCCTTTTTGCACCTTATCTCACTGGCTGTAAGAGCTGCTGTTATGATAGTCCAGCTGGTTAGAGTGTGGTTTGTTATCACTCTTGAACCTGACTGTTCAGATGTTAGACTAAACATAACACAAAACTAATTCTTGGACACTTTTTTTAGTCTCATTTTACTCAAACTCCTGGTTTCTGTTTGGATTTTTGTTCATTTTTAAGTTGAAGTTTTACTCTCGCTGCTCGTCCTCCGCTGAAACACACCTATCAACACATCGCAGATTTCGATGCCACACACATGTTGTGTTTTGGCCTTGGGTGTCAAAGGCTAGGCTGCAGAAGTTTCCTTTATTAATTGTTTGAGCGTTTGTGTGTGTGTGTTCGGTACGCCAGAGATAAAACCTGTCAAACAGTGGAGGTGACCCCGGCAGGATACGGGGCACCCAGCACGCGTCGGGACGGGACCTCAGGGCAGCTCGGCAACACTGTGATTTACTCTTCAAAGACAAGCGCACGATAGTATTTCATCTGCATCTTAACCCTCTTTAACCCGCCAACAGGCTGTATACATGAGGGTGTCAGAGGGTGGAGTGTTACACGGCAGCTCAAATAAACAGGCTGCATACATGAGGCTTTGTGGTGCTGTCCTGCACATCAATTCGCACGTCTAAATAGTAGCAGTTTAACCCGTGATTTACTGCTGCTCACGTCCAAAACATGACGATCGATTTCTTCACATTTGTGGATTAAAAAAAAACAGTTAAGTTCAGGACAAACAGGCTGGAAAATGACTTCACATTCAGCTGAACAGGACGACAATTATTTAATTCTTGTCCCCAGCTGGTTGATTGATACACCTAATAGTCTGATTTGTAAAAACATCTTTTAAAAAGTTCCTGAGATCTCTCAAACATGCAGCCAAACACTGAAGTCAGTCAACATGGTACACTAAGACCTGTGTCCCCTCTATGTTGGTCAGGGTCTTCTTTCTTCTAAAGTCTACTGGAGGAGGTTTGTCCTTGACTCTTTAGATCTGAGCTGTAAAGGAAGTCACTTATTTTTCCCTTAATGATTCCTCCGGCTATAGAGGAGCATTTGGCACGCTCTCCTGACTCTCCCCTGTGAGTTAACCAGCTGTGTTCAAGGTCCTGAGACTCTTCTCAACCTGCCTCGATTAAGAGACTGAATTCACATTTGCTAGAGGCAGTTTTTCCTCCCCATCACCAGCACCAAGTCCAGCTACATTTAGTTTTGCAATTCGAGATGCCACATGTCTAATCTGGAGTCAGGCATCTCTCTCTCTCTCTCTCTCTCTCTCTCTCCTTCTCTCTCTGGGAGTGAGCTGTAGTTAGTGTCTCACCCTCCGCATGGGGCTGAGGTCTGGGCAGGTACAGGTCTTAATCCATCGTCCAGCCACCGCCCAGGAGGGGGCACAGATAGCAGAGTGAGACGAGGCCAGATTACGGTGAAAGAAATGGACGGGAATCCACAGATCTATGATAAACAGGTCGGATGGATTTGTTAAAGAAAGTTGAGCTCCTAAACTGTTGCAGACTTGCTCTGAATCCTCTCTGCAGTTTACTTTTTCATTAAAGTTGTCATAAAAGTTGAAGGCATTAACTCCTGGTATGACCAAACAGCATCAGCCGATGTTCCTGACTGTTTTGGAGCTCAAAGCTAAAAGTCTGAAAGGACAGACTGATGCTAAAACTCTTCAAAGGAAGACATATTGTCGCTTGCAGCCCACATTGTCTGATTTTGTGCCAGCATTCATGGTAAATCCTACCCTCTGATGTTTATACAGCATTGCAGATAATAAGAACATTATTATACGGACAGAGGAGAGAATTTGGTGTCCTGTTTTAAAAGAGTGTTTTGGTCAATTCTGCAGAACGCAAAGGCCAGTTTGGGTCTGACTGAGATGTGAGTATGCACAAGAAATTTGACCACAAGACATCCGACTCAGTGTGATTTCAGGCTGGTTGGACGATTATGGCAAAAATAATAATCAGGATTATTTTGACTGAGATTAAAATCGTGATCAATAAACACAATTATTAATTGATTTATAAATTTAACTTTAAAATAACGTAAAAGAACAGCCAGAAACAAATTAGTAACAAGTAAACAAGTAAAAACATAAAAAATAATCAGCTCTGTGATAGCCGACAATAACTTGGTAACGCTAATACTCGGCGTGCACGTGCTCCACAGTGCAGTGCTCATGTGCACACATAAAGTGATACATATGAGTCCAAGTTAGAGCCACATAAATTAAAAGAACAAACAAACTCATTTTTAACCTGTGCCGGCTTTTATCTAGCCGTGGCAGTGCACCATGATCAATTGCATATCGGGGAAACACTCAAGTTGGTCGTGTTGCCTTGGGAAGCGGACAGAACAGAGTGACAAACAATTTCCTTTCGCTCGACCTCTGTCAAATTAAAGCCAAAACGTTTCCAGATAACTGAAGTTGTCCTAGCTTTCTTCTCATCCAAAAGCTGCCTTTTTGCCATGTCAATGACTCACCCCTCATATTATTGATCCACACACGTCACACGCTTGCTGCAGCTGCACCTAACAGGGGCACATTCAAGGTGTTTTTACAGCACGAGAACTTACATACATTCATCATTTTTCTTCAATTATAAAGTTTTTATAATCGTGAGACGCCAAAATTAAAATCAAAAGTAACACAAACTTGTTTTTTTTCCCCCATCATGTAAACATATTGAGCGACCTTTCTTCAAACTAAGGAGTGGGATGCTTTCGTTGAATCTGTTTTTAACTCTTGACTTAATTGGAGTCCTGTCTGGCCGTCCTGATAAGGTGCTCTGCAGGAAGTTGTAGTGTATGATGAGTTCCTGTGAGCCTGCTGCTTGTGAAGGACCAAAGTTCAATAGGAAGCAGAGAAAGGAAAAGGATGCTGAACATATCTCTCCAAGAAAGAGGATACGGTCAATGAAGCCTCTGAAAACAAGCTAACGACAGGACAGGGGTCAAGTTTTATTCTTTGTGCTGCTAAAATGGGAGTTTCTAAATATTTGATGTCTCTAAAAGTAACTTGTAATCTCTCCACGCTCAAGCTTTCATTCAATGTTTAAGGTCTCTTTGCACTGTTATGAGACCTGTAAGATAATGAGGCGGTGCGTTTCTAGAGCGCATCGGGTGATCAGACACCCTCACTGAGTGTTGTTTGAAATAGCAGCTAGTGTTGTTTTAGCGGGGGAGCAGTGTCACTCAAGGCCTGGGCAGAGTGCTGCTGCAGGGGGGAGGACCACTTTCACACGTACTGATACTTTCCTGATCGAGTAACAAAGTGAGCCATCAAACACCCGGACGCCACATAAAGTCGCTCACCGTGACTTTCCCGCTTCTAACCACCAGCGGTGTATCCCACCGCACCTCTTAGCACCTCATTTTCTACATTCTTCTCCCTCTATTATCCCCTCATTCTCCTCCTTTTTGTGGCGGCCATTAAAACATTACTGTTCCTTAATGTCCTGCTGAATTTCACACCCAGTCTGAGATTATCCATGAGCATGCGAGAAAAACTTGTCCAAGAGAAACGCTCCAACCTTCGTCTCTCTTCTTCTTCAAGCCTCCTCTTACCGCCACTCTCTCACGTGTCATCGTCCAAGGCCTCTCCCTCCTCTCTTCACACAGTAGTCGACAGCTACTGCAGTGTGCTCTTTAGATAGACGTGCCTCTTTGTTTTTCTTCTTGTGGATGGATGTAGAGATTAGTTATTATTTCCACTGTGACAGCAGCCGCAATCACAGTCAAGACGGCACATCGAACTCTGAATACAAAAACAACCTGGCGCAAAATAAAGGACATAAAAACACCACAATTAGTCTCTAAGATGGGCTGTAATTTACTGAAGAGATGACAACAAAATCACATCCAATACAAATCAGCGTCGAATGCAAGAAGTAAGTATTTGAACTAAAGCATTACAGCGTTTGTCTTCATGCATTAAGTGAAAGTAAAAGTGCAGGATAGGAGAACATCTGCTGTTTTAATATTTTGCAATAACTCCAGAAAAGTTGAATAAATGTTTCTAGAAATAGATTTGGTGCTTTGCAAATTATTTAAAATGTGTGTTTAGATGAAAATAGGCGATATAAATGAAAAATAAATGCTCACTCTACCTTTAATCCTGGAGAAACATTTATGTAACTCATATCATATCATATCACCTTAGATCATTAGCAGCAGGTTAGAGACATGACTCGGTACTGAGTGAGCAAACAGTTCAACAATTTATCCTCTTCAGTGTGGGATTGCAAAAAAATTAGGGATTTTATCATCTGCAGTGAATAAAGATCATTAAAAAGAAGAAAAAATCTGCAGCACTGCATCAAAAATAGACCTGACTCTGTAGTGGAGATCACCACAGGGGCTTAAAAGATGAAACTTCACTCTCAAAACTCCAGAAACTGGTTGCCTTAGTTTGCAGAGTGTTGTTAAAAGAAGAGGTGATGCAACAAAACGTTTCTTTTGGAAACATTTTGCATTCATTAAATTTAAAATGTGCCTAAAATTATATTTTTAATGACTATTTTAAGTCAACTATGTGATTTAACTCGTTTGTAAACCATCTTAATCTGTTTTAATCAACTTTTAATGCAGCATCCAAACTAATTTTGGGAGTTGGGATTGTTTATTGAAAAGTGCAACTCAGCTAATGTTCAAAAATGTTGGACTTAGCACTGATCAGCAGGTCCAGGATCAGACGGTCCTCTAATGAGGGGAGGGTATGAGGGTGATTGAGGGTATTCTGATAAAGGTCCAAGTTGTAAGCCCCCGCTTGGTCACCTCTTCAGGGGGGCAGGGGGGCAGGGGGGCGTAATGACTTCCCCAGCTGGCCCCCTGGGACGACTGCGCTCGTGCTCTGCACCTCTCCAGGCCGCTTTAAGCCACCGCCTTGTTTGTTTAGGGAAGATTAGCAACGTAAAACCCTTACAACATCCTGAACACGCAGCAGAGGGAGACGCGATGGAGTGGACGGCGGGAAAGAGGGATGGAGATCGATGGGTGAAGAGAGAGTGAGATATATAACAAATGTCTTTGCAGACACTTAAACGGGGCTTTTCTCAGCTGGATGGTGTTTAAATGATTGTCGGTGTCTTTGTTTGGGTACATGCCACTCAGAAGAGACTTCATGCGCCTCAGAAACGTTACTCTTTAAAACCAAACCTATCCACCCGGCCCCTCAGTTCCTCTCAATGATGGATATTTATAGACAGTAAACTCCTCGGTAAATGCACCTGCCTGCCTGAAACTGTCCTCAGGGCCGTGTAAAACCATAGAGTGGATTTTTATCCTCCAATCTAGACCGGTCTCTTGGTGCTCTTTTGTTATGGATGTAAAGCAATGATGTGCATTTACAGGAATATCTTTAACGCCTTGTGGGAATAAATCTCTCTTTAAAATGTCAGCTCCCAGAGGCTGCAGACTTCGACTTCCAGGTCTGTGGTTGTACATTATCCTCCATAAGCGGACATGTTTCGCATTTTAATTAATCTTTACGAAGAACAGATGCGATACGGTCGAGCTTGCAGGTGTGTCACAGGTGTGTGTGTGTGTGGAGCTGAAGCAGGAAACAGATGTGCAGTGATATCTCAGTCTGCACAGGACTGGGAGACTATCAGCTCGAGCCAGTCTGCCGTCTCACTGCACCGGCGCTGTACATCCTGTGGGCTTAAATCATGCCAGCTGTGATAAGAGAGCAGAGCAGTGTGTTAACAACTCGGCTCCTTTTAGGATCATCTGAGGCTCCCTGATTCTGAACCAGAGCGATCAAAGAAAGATGCTCAGAGAGGATTCATTTCAGCTCTTAAATAAGTGATATACCATGACAAGAGAAGGTGAGAAAAACAGACAAAAAGAAACATCAGCCGCGGTAATTAGTGGATGATGTTTGTATGTGAAAAAAGTAACTCCACCTGAATCACTGGAAACGATTACACTCATAAGTGTAGGAAAAAAATAATAAAGCTGCCCTTTCAATCAGCTGAAGAGCAAAAAGAGACAGAAAGGTCACAGGAGTTTCTTCTTCTCCCTCAGTCGTCTGTTTTAACACATATTTTTGTTTTTGTCTTTTCAGCCCGTGTCCCGAGCAAGGAATGGGTGACGAATTCAACCTCATGGACCATTCAGACCTGTATATCTTAGACTTCAGTGAGTATCTCTCTCGTTATCTTCTCTGTCTGATTTTCATGAGGTAGATTCAAAGAGTTGTCAAAGAGATCTGTTGATGGATCACCATGGCAACACCTTGATCATCCGTTGACACACAGTTTGTAGCCGTGTGTGTGATTTGGATTAAACAGACACTCTGTACCTGTTGCTAGCATGCTGTTCGGACACGGTGTCGCCCAGCCCACTCTTCTTGGCCGTGTCCCGTCTTTGTGTCGTCCCATTTGGAACTTCCGCCTCGTAGAAGACCAAATATAGCCACGTCCCGCCCATAACGCGGTCAGGTCACAGTCGGGGATGGTGTAGGTGGGCTGACACAGGGACACGCAGACCATATGGGACTGGTGGTACTCAGTGGCCTCCCCTGTGACGAACGCCTCCACGTGCCTGTCGTGTGTGTTTTTACCATGTTTACCATGTTGCATAGAGCGGGACAGTCATGCCCATAAAAGGAGCTTTGAAATACACCAAAATCAATGTTGGACACACAAGAGGCAGAACGAACTCAGCAATACAGCAGACTTAGGTAAGGGTACACACTTCATATAATACTGAGATACTAATCCAAATAAGGTGGGACTGTGCACAACATTTAAAATAATAATATTGATAATAATAATGATAATTATGATACTACTACTACTCATAATAATAATAATAATGATAATAATAATAATAATAATAATAATAATAATAATAATAATAGTAGTAGTAGTTTACAAGTCCATTATAGCCTTAAACTAAAAACTTTGGTTTTTTTTTTGTAATTTTTTTTCTGTATAATAAACTCCTGGCAACCTGTTTTAAAAACAGACATGTGAATCATTATCTGTTATTGATTTTATGATTTCCCTGTTTTGTCCTAATCTTTGCTCCAGTTCATCTTAAATGGACAGCCCAAAGAAGCTGCCTTATATCTGGATCGTGTCAATAATATGATTTTCCTGTTTTAACTCAAATTTGTAAGGAGCTATGTTCACCTACAGTGGTGTTTGGAGGGGATTTTTTTTAACCTATTTACATTTTTTTTTTTTTCATGTATCCTTTCATGAAAACAGTTATGCCTGCACACTTGGGAGTCCAAAAATTTACATTAATTCATCATTTATATTTTCTTTAATAGTCGTCCATCGAGAGTCTGCTTTACTGTGATAGCTGAGGGTTGAGGTTGTACTCTCCATGGACAACAAATCTGAAAAGTCCATAAGCCATGAGCCATATATGTAAACTGGAGATCGTCCTGAGATCGCTCCAGACTGTTTGAATCTTTTCTTGGTAACCGGTTGTAAATGGATTTACCGTATTTTTCGCACTATAAGGCACACCTGATTATAAGGCGCGCCATCAATGAACACGTCTATTTTCATACATGTGGCTTATAGATTATAAAGCGCATTAAGCCAAACAAAACAGTCATATAAGTCAAACTTTATTTAACTCATTCAATAACTTCGCGAGGCTACAGTAGCTGCAGTGCTCCAACAAGCCAAAAGGATCTTAAGTGCGCCTTATAGTGCGAAAAATATGGTATATAGTTTGGAGATGATCCTTCAGGTTTATTAGTTTAGAAATACACGACTTTTTTCCCTGTTCCAGTTATTTTAAAACATGTTGCCGACATTAAATTTAAAGTTTCTTAAGGGTGGAGATGGTTAATTTAACTTTGATGCTGTTGTATGTTTTTTTTTAATATGTAAACAGCTTTTTTTCTCGATATATCTAACCCCTTTTCCTCCACAGAGGTCTGATCTGTCTGATTCCCCTCGTCTGAAACATCATTTCATGTCCTCAGAGTGATTAACGTCTACGATCCATCTGTGACTCATTACTCTCTCTCTTCTTTTCAGGCCCTAATTTGAAGACGTTATGCAAAATAGCTGTTATTCAGTACAGTCTGGAGCAGTCAGGACTCCCGCAAGATATCAGGTCAGAGCAGCATCCTCTTCTACCGTCATTAACATCAGTGGGTCATAAACTGACATATTGTTATGATTCTGTTTATGTTACGTGCGCCGTTTCTGCCACCATCTTGTCCTTTGAGAATAATGAGGTTGTTTTTCACAGAGGGAAATTAGGACTCATTATCTATCACTCAGGCTTTTGTCTGATGTTCCTTTAAGTCTGTGTGTGTGTGTGTGTGTGAAATGAGTAAAGCAGTTATATCATCTGCCCACTTTCTGCATTAAAGTTTGCTTATGGTGAAAAAAATTGTGGAAACAGATTAAGTCCACGCAGCTCTTTCAGCCTGTTTTTGTGCAATTTGCCTAAAAGCTGCAGCTGAATGAGGAGCAGGAGGCAGATCCGTTAAATTGGCTTTATTGTAGCAGGAGTGTGTCATAAGGGAAGGAGGAAATGTTGTATTGCAAAGAGGATTTCAAAGAGGTAAAATCAAGTCTGGCAAAAGAGTCACCTTAATGAACTTGTGTCTTAGTTTGGCTCATCAGACAAGTGTTTCTCTAATGAGAGGATTGCACTTAAGTGAGTTTTGTTTGTAATTTGATCCTAATTACTCCTCTCAGCAGCCTCTCCTTTCTCTCCCACCTTGCACACTCCGCTCTTCGTTGTTTTGCAGTCGTGTTTCTAACCCTCCGAGGGTCACAAGACTCGCGTTAACTCCCTTTGCCCCTCACTGGCATCTTCACCTCCAGTGCCAATCTCCCCTCTTAGACGCACAACGACACAAAAACGAACAAAGCAAATTGAGAGGGAGCGGGTGTGAAACCAGAGCCAGAGATAACAATCTGCAGCCCAACCTCTGACCTGTCAGCAGGTCAGCAGCAGAGCCTGCTGTCGGCCTCTGCTCCTGGTTCTCGTGTTACAGCCGGGCCGTCCCTCACCATTAAACACATCGTAGCCCCTCATTTGGAGAGGAAGGGGGGGCCAATGATGGACAGTAACTTAGCAGAGTAAAGAAGATTATTTTGCATTTTCAGACACCAAAAAATGATGTTGATAAAGTCTGAGAAAGACTCTGAGACCAGTTTCAGGAGTTTTTGGAAAGTTGAATATCAGATTTATGACACCTCTGAGTTTTTTTTTTTAAATAGAAGTAGGCCAGTTCAGCACCTGGACCCTTCTACTACAGAGCCACAGGTAGGGTTTACTAGAGATGGGTGCAATTCATCGATGTGCACGTGACGATCTGGCATCGATTAGGGTTAGGGTATTTTAAATAAAAATAAATTAAAAAGTAATGTCGATGCTTTGTTACAAGGCTGGAACAAAACAAACATGTAACACATAATGCAAGCACCACCTGGACTGTGAGTGGGACCAAAACAAACAGAGCACGTTAGTTTCTTAGCGAAATGGCAACAGCTTCAGCAGCGCCCAAAGAGCGGCCGATTCTCTAGACACCGTGTGGAAGTAGTTTGGATTTTATGAGAGAGCGAACGAGATGACTGACAATGCTTACGCGATTTAAAATAAAGTATCTCAGCATCACCACAAACATGAGGCATCACCTTGTACGCATATATCCCGAATTAGAGAAGGCCAGGATGGTCCTCTGGTCGTGCCTGCCTCACAGAGGACCATCCTGGAGACTGTCTCCAAACGTCCCAGTTTACACTAAGTAGGTCAAAGCGCAAATGTTTACACAACATTCATACAGTCATAAAATAAAATATTTTGGGGTCAAACATTCAAAAAACCTTGTTATTCATACAGTCATAAAATAAAATATTTTGAAGTCAAACGTTCAAAAAACCTTGTTATTCACATTCAAGAATCAAAGATCCCATAATCGAATCAAATCATGATGTACCCTTGTTGGAACACCCCTAAAATCTGGATAGCAGCAGCTGTGGCTCCATAACAGGTACCACTCAGCATCAGTGGAGCCTCACAGTAAAAAACATCAAAATCAACATTTACACCAGATCCCAACTTGATCATTCAAAGCCTCCTCATGATTTCTTCCTCTTCTTGTTTTTCTCCTACAGGTGGGAACTGGCAGCCATGACAACCAACAGCAACATCAGCAGGCCCATCTTCTCCTCTCACGGCTGATGAAGGAGATCTGAACTCCTCTCTCTGTTTCAGGACTCTGTAGGCTTTTATCTTTCTTAAGGACCGAGCTCCAACAGACGATGGTTTTTTTTCTAGAGTTTGGATCTGGATGGGATTTAGTTTCCACATTCTTTCATTTAACTCTGACCAAATTAACCTGCGTGTGACTTCTTCGGACAACCTGCTCTCTCTCGGATGTTTTAACCCCTGAGAGACCTGAATCATTTTTTTTTCTCTTCTTTCTAGCCTCTCTAGAAATCCAATCAGCCTATGATAATCATAGACTTCTAATCTTAAGCACAGGAAGAGACGAGAACTTCAGCCAAAGGTTTTTGAGCGCTCACCTCCTGATGTCACGCTCAACAGATCACCCATAGAGGACAAATGTGAATCTGCACATCCATAGATAAATACAGAGACTCTGATTCTCCTGAGTTTGTAGATCCTGCAGCTCAAACAAGGACATCAAACCATGTAAAACACCCAAGAGGCTGAAGACAGGAGGATCTGGTCTCTGTGCAGTATATGAAGTGGACAAAGATAACCTGTGACTTTGGTGTTCAAATCAAGAAGAAGTAGTGTTGGGTACGAGATTTTTTAGGGTGCCATGCTGGTGAAAGAGTCTGTTTGATGCTTATTTTCATGCTTAACCCTTAAATGTTTGTGAGGCCGGACTCAGACTACAGGAGGTTCACGCTGATCCTCGAAAACAGGGTCGGTCTAGAGGGTCATCCAAAAGAGAGAAGAGAGAAACCCAGAGCTGCTGTAGACAGTCCAACATTAGATAACGTCAGAATATTGTGGCTCTGGATAGGATATTCGGACAAAAAAGATCATCTCACAGCCGACTGAGGCGAGCGGTAGAGAAACTGCGGCTATCATGAGCATCATCACCCCGCCAACTCAGCAGCGGTGATTTTTACAGACTCTAACCTGACTTTAACACACCCACACTCGCAGACTCCTGCCAAAAAACTTAAGGGGAGTCTGGCAGGGAAATGTCTGGATGAAGTCAGGATGTTCGCGCTGACACATGCAGCATTGAGTGAAAGGGGCGTCAGTTTATGTCTGCTTCGAGGAAGATTACATTTGATCTGATACAATCTAAGACACACGGCGTCTTTTAGGCAAAGGAGTGGAAAAAGTCTGCGGGATCGTATTAGGAAATTTTCAGGTGTTTTAGGCTCACGTTCCCTCCTTCGACATGATGCAACCTTTTCTTTCAATCACCACTATTTAACCTCCTGAAGTCTGAGTCCAGCCTCGGTTCATCTGTGAGGCAGCTGAAGTACGAAACCTGTCTGCCTTTGTGAAATAATCCGGTCCATCTACCTCCCTCAATCTCATCCCGTCTTCACTAAGACTTCTAACTCATCAGACATCTGCTGCCCCCCCCTGAATCACCAGGAAGCTCGTATTTGTTTGTAATCTTCCAGGAACTGTCGTAGTTTTGCAGGAAGAATGCGACTCACCCACCGCTTCACTCCCCTCCCTCCCTCCCTCTTTGCAGTTTGTTTTTCTGTGCCAAAAGTAGAAAGGAAACGTGATGCAAACATGTACTGTGTATGTGTGTTTGAGCACGTGATCCGTCTGCTCCTAATCCTCGTCCACCTGCTTCAGGCTGCATGGGAGATCGTCATTAATATGCATAACATAGTGACTCCTCTAATAGACAATCCTACAGCGTTACCTGCTCATTAACACGGCGTGGACGACGTGTGTTTGTGTACGACTCAGAAAGAGCAGATGTTATAAACACATAAGGGCTGTTATCCGATGATACACTAACCGCACAGCCGGAGGAAAACCCTGAGATTACCTTTTAAATCGAGAGCGTTTATTCAGGTTGTGTGTTTTTATTTATTGGTACAAGTTTAAGAACAAAATCAGAGATTTAGGAGCGGCAGTATTTTTTCTGTTCAACCTTAAATCTCCATCTACTTCTGTTTAAAGATCCTGTCTGTGATATTTCAAACCTTCAAACCTCAGTCTGCCAAAAAAGCACCAACATGAGGTTCATAAAACTCCTGAACTATCTTCGTACTGCTGTTTTGAAGTGATTTTGTTTGCTTTTGTGGGTCATAAGGAAGAATCACTTCAAATGTGAGCATGTTTCATATCCGTTTAAAAACTCTAAATCAGGGCTTTAAGCCAAACGAGGGTGTTTTGGGGCAGCTAGCTCAAAATCAAACCAAATACCAGGGCTATTATCTTAAAAATGTATCATCCGTTAAGAGTCTTTGTTTCTTTTATGTGTTAAAAAGTTTCTGGTAACAAGAAAAGTCCTCAGAGTTTGAATAGGTGGATTACAAAGAACTCAAATCTGAGTAAGTTTGTCTTATTTCTACTCAAAATAACTTGATAATAAACCCTTTTTTCTCCTTAATTTAGTTCTATCATAATTTATATCTATATTCTTACTCAAATTAAGTCTGTTTCTGACCCTCCACATAAGCGTCCTTACAGCTGAGTTGATGCAGGCGAGGAGAGGACTGTAGTGACCTGTGGGAAATTTTAAATGTTTCACCTTAAATCTTCATACTCACTGATACCCATAGTGAACTTGTCTTTTTGAGGACTGAAAAAACTTGAAACTACATTTTTTTTCTGGTATTTTGAGTTTATTGAATACCTGTAACTTCTGCCTTCTTAGTATTTCAAGTTTGTCCTCATTTAGGTTTCTCTTGTGCTCTATTTTCTGTTTTCTTTGCATTTTGTTTTCTTCAATTTGTTTGATGTCACCCTCATCCTTTTCTCTTTCTGCACCATTTAACACTAATTGAGTAAACGACTCTACCCAGAAAAGCTGAAAACACTACTAAATACCTCCATGCTGTTTTACTGGTTTAAACGTGAACGCTACAGTGTCAACAGGCGGAGGTGAAATGTACTTGAAAGCTTTCAAAGTGTTGGAAATGTGGGTTTTTCTCTCAATAGTCGTCATTTTTTAAATTGTATGAACAGTGTTTGAAGGATATTTGGTAACAACTGACATGAAAAACTCAGTGCTTGAACTTTTTCCCGGCTGACGGTACTTGTTGAGTTTGTTATGGCGTAAAGGTAGAAATATCACAGACACGGATCTTAGAAATAAGGAATAAAATGAAGTCATACAGCGTTTTGTTTTTTGATCAGGCAGAGAGGTTTCCTTTCTGCGCGGCGTTATTCTAATGTGAAGACAGAGCTGCTGCGGCGTGTTTCAGTCCTGACTTTTGGGACCAAAAAAACTCACTCTGAAAATGAAACCCTCCCAAACATCAGGATCTGATCAGCGTTTCTCTTCTCCTCCTAATGTTTACAGACGTGTGTGTATTTAGGTGTAAATCTTAAATGCTGGTTGAAGTCACTTGATGGTGGCTGTTTGACCTTACAGAGAGGAGGCGTGTCGATGCTGCTTTCTGCCTCAGTACAGCTCCAGTTTGAAACCTTTGACTCCCAATAACAGACGCGGATGTTCTCACAGACCGTAAACATATCTCACTCTCACCCTGTCACCTGAGCAGCTAACAGGGGAGCTGATCGCAGAATAAACCGGTACTGGTGAACGAATCAAACTCTTAATGCGTCACCAAACTCATGATGATGGTATTTAGTGGGTTTTTATTTGAACGTTTTGGGTGGAAGAGATTTTTCTTTCAGGATTTTGTGTGTGAGGATTATGGTGGTGGTATTTTTTTTAGCTAAGAACTCTTCAGGAATACATAAAAACATCAAAAAACCTGCACAATGACAGCCGCTCACTTACCTCCAGTGAGAAAATGCTCAATCATTTTCACTCTTTATCTTCGGACGCTTGTTCTTTATCTAATTCAGCGTTTAGCAAACCTTTAAAGCAGCTCTCTTGAAGAAAAACGCCATCGATAAGTCACAGCGCGCACTTATTACGACGGCGTTTTTCAGAGTGAGCAGTCATTATTGCCAAGCAGGAGTACATTACCCAACTGATTTCATTGCCAAGAAGTGTGTTTCTCTCTGGATGGTTGAATAATTCAAAAACAACAAAGGATGCTTGTTAGAAACAGAACAAAGTACGGCGTGTGTTTGAATCACTTTACTGTTTTTATTTGCTTTTATATTTGACTCATTTTTCAGAGGGGACTCTGTTTATGGAGAGGTTGGTCAGGACTTCCTGTGCAATATGCTTTATAACTGTATCAATAATAAATCTGAGACAATTTGAAAAGAAACCTGTCTCCATTTTGTTTAAGTGGTGCTTTCATTTTCCTACAGAATCAACCTTTGATTTCAGGATTTTATCAGAGTGACGGTTCTAGTCTCTATTTCTATTCTGTTGTTAGAAATGTTCACCCAATTTAGACTTTAGCTTTTCTCCTGTTCTATGAAGAATGAAGACAGCATGATGAGTGAGTTGTAAAATGTCATTTCACTGTTTGCAAGCTGTGTGATGACATAAGATTGACACCTTATAATCAGAAATAGACAAATTAAACCGACATGTTAACTCTACGGAGGCTGACTGAAACGCTTCTGATCTTCTCTGTCGTCAGTAATTAAGTTGTCACTCGGCGTCTCCACATTGTCTCATTTGCACCTTTTTCTGCTTTTGTGCATTCTTCAGTGGCATCAAATATTTGTTGTCAGCGTTTTTGCTGTTCATGCAACTGTTTGTTTTTTTTGCAGCAGTTTTTTTATTTGCAGCACAGTTCCTTGCGTGCTTTGTACGAAAGAGGATTAGGGCAACAAGAGCAGAAAAAATTAATTACAGGAGGGAAATTTTTTAAATTTCCATTTCGAGATTAAAGTCGAGATTTTTGAGATTGAAATCGAAATGATAAAAAATTGAGACTGACTTTTTTATGTCAACTTTAATCTCAAAATTTTTGACTTTCATCTCAAAATTTATTTTTATTATTTTTTTTATTTATTTTTTATTTTTTTTTTAAATTTCGACATTATTGACATCTTTTCATTTTTTTTTTATCTCGAGATTTCACTTTAATCTCCTTCCTGTAATTATGATTTTTTTTTCTCCTCTTTCGTAGTTATGGACTTTTGCACGACTTGTTCTTTCTGAAATAACAGCTGTTTTGTATTTTTTTTTTAAGTGAAGATCATTCTGGCCTCTGCAGACCTCGTCAATCACCACATAATTGTATTTCTACTGCTCACCTGCTGCAAAACGCTGAAACTGCTTTAATCTCTTGTGTTTATTTTGGACTGTTGCGTGTGTTTTTGAAGTTGTCGTTTTCAGACTGTTGCAGCTTAATTCAGAAGATAATACAGCGAAACCGCAAGAGATAGAAGTGCACGACCCTGCTAAAGCTGCAAGGCATGAACACTTCAGTTAGCATGAAAAACACTCTAGTACATGACACATAGATGTTTGTGAGCGCCTGACAGAAAGGTCGAGTGTCTCTATTGTTGTTTAATGTCACTTTGATGCGTGTCGTCTCTGTAGAGAAAATGCTGCTCTGCAGGAATCAAATCTTTTAGTGTTAGTGGAGAATAAAATACTTTGCTTTAGAACTGTCTGAGTAAAACGTGTAGATATTTGTGGTAAAATGTAAAGTGTACTCTTGGTTATTTCCCACTCCTGCAGACATGTACACTCACCGGCCACTTTATTAGGTACACCATGCTAGTAACGGGTTGGACCCCCTTTTGCCTTCAGAACTGCCTCAATTCTTCGTGGCATAGATTCAACAAGGTGCTGGAAGCATTCCTCAGAGAGCTTGGTCCATATTGACATGATGGCATCACACAGTTGCCGCAGATTTGTCGGCTGCACATCCATGATGCAAATCTCCCGTTCCACCACATCCCAAAGATGCTCTATTGGATTGAGATCTGGTGACTGTGGAGGCCATTTGAGTACAGTGAACTCATTGTCATGTTCAAGAAACCAGTCTGAGATGATTCCAGCTTTATGACATGGCGCATTATCCTGCTGAAAGTAGCCATCAGAAGTTAGGTACATTGTGGTCATAAAGGGATGGACATGGTCAGCAACAATACTCAGGTAGGCTGTGGCGTTGCAACGATGCTCAATTGGTACCAAGGGGCCCAAAGAGTGCCAAGAAAATATTCCCCACACCATGACACCACCACCACCAGCCTGAACCGTTGATACAAGGCAGGATGGATCCATGCTTTCATGTTGTTGACGCCAAATTCTGACCCTACCATCCGAATGTCGCAGCAGAAATCGAGACTCATCAGACCAGGCAACGTTTTTCCAATCTTCTATTGTCCAATTTCGATGAGCTTGTGCAAATTGTAGCCTCAGTTTCCTGTTCTTAGCTGAAAGGAGTGGCACCCGGCGTGGTCTTCTGCTGCTGTAGCCCATCTGCCTCAAAGTTCGACGTACTGTGCGTTCAGAGATGCTCTTCTGCCTACCTTGGTTGTAACGGGTGGTTATTTGAGTCACTGTTGCCTTTCTATCAGCTCGAACCAGTCTGGCCATTCTCCTCTGACCTCTGGCATCAACAAGGCATTTCCGCCCACAGAACTGCCGCTCACTGGATATTTTTTCTTTTTCGGACCATTCTCTGTAAACCCTAGAGATGGTTGTGCATGAAAATCCCAGTAGATCAGCAGTTTCTGAAATACTCAGACCAGCCCTTCTGGCGCCAACAACCATGCCACATTCAAAGTCACTCAAATCACCTTTCTTCCCCATACTGATGCTCGGTTTGAACTGCAGGAGATTGTCTTGACCATGTCTACATGCCTAAATGCACTAAGTTGCCGCCATGTGATTGGCTGATTAGAAATTAAGTGTTAACGAGCAGTTGGACAGGTGTACCTAATAAAGTGGCCGGTGAGTGTAGAAGTCAAAAGAAACTGCTGTGCTGAGCTAAAAAAAACGCTCTTTGACCATAAAATGATTTTGTAAAAGCTGCAGTTCATTCAAACTCCATCTCCAGATTTCCTCCTCCTTATCTCTACGCCGTCTCCTCCAGGAGCTCCTGTACACGTCTTTAACGGCTCTCAGGTCTTTGAACTCTGCAGCTCAACTTCCTGTTCCTGCAGAAACCCACAAAGCTGAATCTGCTGAGTGTCCTCACCGGCCCTTCATCGGACAGTGTCTCCTCCTGAACATCAGCCTGCTGAAGGTAGAGACCTGACCCCCTGTCAGCTTCATATTTCTTCTTATCAGTGATGAATAATGAAACCTGCAGACTTGTTTGTGCAGAAAAGAACTTCTTTTGTGACATGTTTTAGATTTTTTGGAAGAGTTTTAATGAGCGCTATCTAACTGAAAATTATTGACCCTGAAATCTCCGTGTAGGAGTCTTTTCCTGGGTGAATCCAACATTGTTTGCAGAGCTTGAATTAATCATCAAATATCAAAGAGTTTAGTGTAATAGCCAAGCGTATAACCAGGAGAAGATTTAGCACTCCCATAATCCTCCAGGAGCTCCTGAACGCGTCTTTAACGGCTCTCGGGTCTTTGAACTCTGCAGCTGGACTTCCTGCAGAAACCCTCAGAGCTGAATCTGCTCCAGTCTGATTGTCCGTCTGATTGTCCTCACCGTCTACCTCTGAAATCATGGTGCCACCCCAGACTCCCCCTCACTGCCTGCTGTCAGTCTACTTAATGGGACGCGTGCGGCTGCTTTGGGGGTCCCCTCATTAGAAAGTGTCCCCCCCAGAACCGAAGCTCCAACAGTTTGTTCCCGTCTGTCACCAGCCGCCTGCTATAAACCCGCTGTTATCTGCAGTGTTAAGTGCAGGCCACAGACGAGGGCTCAGCTTAAAGCGAGGCAGCAGAGACACCCAGTCCCGCCTGGGCCCCTGACAGGCCCCCCGCCACACACAGGAAGTCAGGCTGCATACAGTTCCTCTGTCTGGCCCCGGAGCCTGCAGGGCCAGCGACGCAGGCGTTAATGCGAGGAGCCACTCAGCCAAATGACTCTCTAATTTCCCCCCAGGACTCGGAGGGTCCCAGCGGCCCTTGAGAATCAGGCTGAGGATTTGTTCGGAGTGATTTGTTTTGTCTCGTTCCCCCCTGTCCCTGTGTGGTTCCCTCACTCACTCAAGTTCTAGTTCTCTGCTCCCGGCGTCCTTCAGAGCACTCAGTCAGGGATTTAGGAGAAGATGCATTAGAGGAGCACGAGCCCTCGGAGGACACAAGCAATCACTGTTGAAGTTAAACGTCCAAAAATAATGGAAACAAGTCCTTGTCGTAATGTGTCTGTGTTTACTGCTCTCTCTCTAACCTGGAAAGGTACGGTCCGGGTGGCAGAAACCTTATATTGATCGTTTAGCATTGATGGTGTAACTCCAGATGTCAGGGGTGGTTAATTCTAGGGTGACCATAATCTGAATCCCCAAAAAGAAGACACTACCATGCTAAATTTTGAGGGTTGCTGGGTTGGGTTGAGTATTTTTTACGTGCTTCAAACTCAGTTAGTCCACGCTACACAAACTTAAAACTTCCACACAAAACCCCGGACATTTGAAGGATTTTATAAACTCCCCCCTGACAAGGCCAGACAGCCCCCAAAAAAGAGGACATGTCCGGGTAAAAGAGGACGTATGGTCACCCTAGTGATTTCCAAAAAGACTGTCAGACCAGGGGCGTCGTCAGACCCCTTTCCTGGGGCTCGTGCACCAGTATCAGGGGCAGACTGGCCATCGGGATTACTGAGAGTTTTCCTAAGTGTGCCCTAGAAGAGCTTTATACCTAGCAATGCCCCTGTGTCAGACTGACTGCATGGACCAGATCAGATCAGAGTCTGATGAGAACTTCAGAAGTTTATCTTGTCCTGCAAAAGTAAACAGCATGAACAGAATCCAGATTTGAGTCCCTGATCCACATCATGTTGGTTTATCTTGATTGTGCATGAAGGGAGAATCTGCAGGTGAACCATGAAAACATTCAAAAATGAAGCATCCATTCGTGCTGATTTTTTAGATGAGTGTCTGCAGTGGGCGGCGTCTACAGTTGAGCTTCTGTATCAGTCCTCAACTCGTTTCTCCAAACAGGAGTCCTGCTGACTGTTATCTACTCTAGATCACTCTCTGATAGATAAAAACCCCTTTCTTTAAAAACTACTGTTCAACTCCCAAAGTTACTCCACTCAGCTGGGTGTCAGTCTTTGGTAAAATTCAGGGTGTATTTCATGTGTGAGTCATGTTGTGCGGCGCTGTAATCTGTCATCTGCCTCTCAGCTTCAGTGCGTCATGTTTGCAGACCTGTAGCTTAATTCTCCTCCAACTGGGGTTTAATTGAGTGACTAACAGACTCATGGTTTAAGCCTGAGAAGAAACTCTGCCACAGCTGAGAGCCTGTGAGGTCTGTTCACAGATTAAACGGAGACGTGGATCTGCTTTCTGCTCTCTCTGAGAGACAAAGATCTGTGAGGCTGCTGGGTTTGACTGTCGGAGAGAATAATAACCTCTGAAGTTTGATCCTTTTCTTGTAATCTTTCACTCTCTCTCTGATTGTTTTTGAGCGTTTCATTCTTGCGTTAAGCTCCAATGCCCAACTTTCATTTAGTGCTGAGTTTGGCGCCCCCTGTGGACAAAGCAGATTCTGTCCTGAGCATTTCATTCACAAAAATAACCCTTCGACCATCTTTGATAGTCAAATGCACAACTAAGTGTGGCAGAAAATCCAGTTGAAGAGACTTCTGGATGCATACAAATCTAATTTTACACCAACCCAGTGATTAATAATAATAATCTAGGGGTTAAAATGTTAAAAATTAAGAGATTAATATTCTCTAGGAAGCTTTAAAGTTAAGTCTATATTTTGTCGTACTCAGGTGAGCTGCTGTAAATTATAGATGATAATGCTGCCACAAAACAGCAGTACGTGAATAAGAGATGTTTTATGTAGATGGTTAGTTTACATTTAAAATCACAGAAGGCTTTATATACGTAATGCCCCTTTACGGCCTAATCATAGATTTCAATCTACGCCCAAACCTAGATAAATTTAACTTACTTAGTGTAGGGCTGTAAAGTCCTAATCGACTGGTCGACTAATTGGTCGATACGTGCTGAGTCGACCAAAATTCAAATTGGTCGACTTGATTTTTTTCCGCCTCAATTTACAGTCTATGGTTAATTTCATCAGGAGGAACGTACCAAGTGCATTCGAGGGGATTTTAGAGCACCCCCGTTTCACAGATAACAGCCTGTCTCAGAACCCCCCCCCACACACACACACACACACACACACACACACACACACACACACACCACCACCACCACCAACACCACCTTTTGTGTTTCATTGCCTTCTTGTGCTGATATCAGTATATTTTCACCCCGCCGCAGAAGGGTTTCCCATCAGAGTCAGAAACCCCCCCCCCCCCATTATCGGCTCACAGTTTTAGTCGACCAAGAATTTCTTCGGTTGATACCAGCACTAACAGTGACTGCTCGATTGATTGTTCTCTGCAGACGTGGATTATTGCACTGATAATTATCTGTGCACATGTTGAAACTGCACATGTGGGGAGAAAAAAAAAAAGACATTTCCACCCTTAACCTTTTAACAGTCACTGCATAAAGAAGTCCTCTAAGGTTGTAAATCCCAAACTTTTCTTTAATATTGAGAAATCACAGATTATCAGAAGTTAATCCCTATCAGTCTCCTCTTTTGGTCATGTGTTTAAAATCCATAATTTTGCATTATGAGTCCACATTGAGAAAGTAAAGCAGCTGTTATAGCTGTTTTGATTTGGGAATCAAAGGAATGCAATGAAATCTACTTTATGATCTTGACTTGTAGAAGTTATTTGTAAAGAAGCTGCACAGGTGTGATCCAAAACCATGACGTAGATGTAGGAGTCAACTTCAAAAGCAGCAACACACACATCCAAACTGAAGCTGTAAGGAGCTGAGATCATTTCCAGAAGAAGTGATTCACCGATCCACATCAGATTTTTCATATTCCTGTGATTTAATAAAGACGCACTCACACTTTATCGCTTTAAATCACTGAATCACTTCCTGCGTCTGATCTCCGGGGTTAATTTTAGATCACTTCACTATAAATATCATTGCTCCAGGTTTTTTTTTCGCCTTCATGACGTCACAACAAGCAGCTTTACCCCGTTTATTTATTTCATTATGTTTTTTATTCATGTGCAGCGGATGAGGTGGAGGAGAGGTGTGAGGCTTTAAAAGGAGCAACAAACTCTGAGGGTTAAGACTCATCGGCAGACGGCAGACAGGACAGGTGAGAGCTGAGAAGGTTTGACTCTGTGCAAATTAAAAAATAAATAATTCATTTTAATGAGCTTTTAAAAGTTTGTCTGTTTTCTAGTTGAACTTTTTTTCTTTGTGATGAACTTTTTAACAAAAAACTATCCTCTGATTTAAACTCTAATGTTTCTGTTTTTTCAGTCTTCAGGGGTCAAAATGAAGATCTGCTTCGTCTCCTGCAGACGTCCTCTACACTCTCTCTGCTCCTCCCATCCACCACCCGGAGATCCCCACAGCTCCTCCTGCAGGAGGTTCAAGTCAGTCACACTCCCCCTCCTCTCTCCTACCACCGCCTCCTCTACTTTCTCCTCCTTTTTTCTCCTATGTGGTCTTCCACTTCCTGACCAGCTTTGTCTCCTTCTCCTAACGTTCATCCTATTCCTCTTTCTTCCATCTTCACTCTTCCCCCTAAATCTTTTTCTTCCTACCCTGCAGCCCCTCCATCGATGAAACTCTTCATCTCCTTCTCTTTCTTTTCTTCACCTTTCTGTCTCTCCTCCCTCTTTCTATTTCTTCTTCTCCTGCTTTTGCATCTCTTACTCCTCATCCTCATTCTAACCTTTTCTCTTTTTTCGGTCTTTCTGTTCTCTGTTTCATCTTTTCTTTCCTCTTTTTTGTCTTCCTTTCCCTCCATTTCAGTCTTTCTCTCCTGCTGTTTTTTCTCACCTGTTTTCTTTTCCCCTCTTCATCCTCCTCCTCTCTCTACCTCCAGCTCTGTCTTACTTTTTCTCCTCTTGTTTTTGTTCTTGGCCTTATACCTCATCTCTTTTTCTTTTTCCTTCTCCCCATCCCCCTTACTTTTTTTCCTCTATCTCCACTCTTACCCCAGTCGCAGCTTCTTCTTCACCTCCTTCCTCCCTCTCTTCCTTTTTCCTCACCTTACCTTCTCCTCCCTGTTTTCTAGTCCTCCTCCTCCTCCCTGTTTCCTCCTCCTCCCGCTCCTCCTCCAGTGTTCGTATCAACACTTGGCTGTTTTCAGTAAAATGTCGCCCTCTCTGTGTCCTGCGGTGCTGCTCCTCAGGGAGTCTTTAATCCAGTTTTCTCCAGTCTGAGCCAAGTTCCTGTACGTGAAACATACTGATCCACTTTAGAAGATGCTTCTGCATCAAATAGTCAGACTGGAGTCCATGCACACAGCTGCTTTAGTGCAGAAATGTGCTGCAGGAATACTATTAGCAACTTTAAATTTGTTTTTAATTAAAGTGCACGAATGCTTTCTGTGCAGATTTAAGAAACAGCTGCAAACACATATTTACATACACACACATACACACATTAGTTAAAGGCTCTAAACTTGAGAGAATTAAGAGATTAAACTGAAACGATTTCAAAGATGTTTAAGATCAGGATGTCACAGCAGACTGGAGTCAACGATGTTTAATAGTCTGCACACAGCTCGTGTTATTAAAGCATGTGGAGACAAAGGCTGGACGTGATATCAGATCATGTCATTAATGCAGTCAGTAAAAATCTGCTTTACATCTACTCCTCATCTCTCTGGTCGTTTTCATTTTGATCCACATTGAGGATTACTTTATTTGATTTGATCAGACGTTTCTAATTTTTATTTATTTTTGTTATTTTGGTCCAAAATTAGGGCATTTTTTGATAGGAATGAAAAGGAAGTCTTTACCCGTGCTGAAAACAGCTTCACTGTCAATTACGTGCTTCATTACCACTGATGTCCTACACCTTAACTCATCTGGTCACCATAAAGTGAGGAAAAGCTGAGGATCTGCTTTTATTCTCACAGTAAATACTGTCAAGGACAGACAGCTGGAGAGTTCACTGCACCAAAGATTATGCAAGAAATCTGTATCTACATCCACGAGAGACACAAAAGGGTAAAATGAAAGTAGAGACGTGAAAATACTGAGATTTCAACATGAGGACAGTGTTGGTCACGTGACCAAAACATAAGAAAAAATCGCCTTTTTATCACTCCTCCAACCTCAACAAAGAATTTCATCTTCCTGTTTATTTTATTCAGTTTTTATGGCGTATAATAAAGCCTGTGCATGAGCTAAAATAGTGATAATTTAGGCTTTTAAATTTGAAATTGATCCCATTTCAGTCTTGATGATCTGTATTTTTATTTTGAGATTTTAATAAGGATATGATGAACTGATATCACACTTTGTAATTTAAGAATAGTACAACTGGACTTAATTCAATAGAAGATGATATTTGTGGTTCAGTGTTCCAGTTTTATCCAAAGAGAGGTGTTAAAATCTCATTAAAAACCTTGACTATAAATAATCTCATTTTAATGTTTCTTTATTAACGAGCTGCATGGATCCAAACCGTTCAAACTCTCCTTTTGTGGTGTTTTCTGTCCCTGTGACGTGGGGGCCCCGCTCCGAGGACACCCACTTTATAAGGAAATGAAGGGAGCAGCAGAAGGCCGGCCTCCCTCTGTGAGGGCCGCCCACGCTGGAGCTCCAACAGCTATAAAAGCCCAGACAGCAGATACTGATCACACACACACATACACTCACTCACACACACCGAGTCTGCTGAGAGTCCTCATCTCTGCTGCACACGCACATGCGCCTCTATCAGCCGTCTCCATAGGAACCTGTGATATTCAGAGTCCGATCCAGCCTGAGAGGAAGAGTCTGCAGGCTGAGATAGAGAGAAAGGGGCTCAGGCTGGTCCTGGTACTCTGGGTTTCCTCACACCTGATGAGGATGACTGCAGGCAGACTTTCTGATCTGTGGCAGTAGGACAAACTTCACTTTCCTCACTTTTCCTCTGACCTCAGTGACCATGGTGTCTCACAGATCCACTAAAGGGGCCTCCAAAGCCCGGCGGGACCACATCAACCACGAGATCAGGAACATGCGCTCTTTGCTGCCCATCAGCCGGGACGACCAAGAGAGGCTGTCCTACCTGCACTCCATGGCCGCCATCTGCACCTTCATCAGGAAGTCCGTCCTGCTGCAGGGTGAGTCCAACTCATGGGAAAGTTTGCAAAGTTTTGCTGTTACTCTCAGGTGTGCATATTTAAAAAAGAAAGAATTGACCTAAAAGTTGAAGCTCTTTTTCTCTTCAGTTAACAGTACTTTTAATTCTCTACAAATCAACATATTTGTAGCTGAGCATCATCTTAGAAACATCTAAAGTTTTAGATGAGAGCAAGTTGTTGGAAGATAGAAAATGACAACAAATATCACAGCCTTTTCACCCAAATCAAAACAGTCTGACCACAACCTGAAGAACTTTGTTTAAAACTGGAAAAACGAGCTCAAAATGTCATGAAAATATTTTATATTGTGCAGAAATTTTATTTTTCTTTCTCCATCTGAAAGACGACACAACAAAGAAGTGTCACAAAATTATAAGATATCATCATTTTCACTCTTTCCCTTTATAAACCAGTATTTGTATTTTGGAGAAATACACAACATGAGTCAGAGGGAAAATTTGCATTTAGATTTTTAATTAAAATGATTGTGTGCTTTGATATATTTTGTGCTGAGTCAGCTCAAAAAAAGAGAAAAGTCAAACCCAAAAATCCAGACATCAGAAAAGTGTCAAAAAGTGTCAATAAAGTATTATGAAGATTGTAATTATGCAGACTTAGATTTTTAATGATACGCTTATATTTTAAACTCATTTTGGCTGATACTAATATTTATGGAGCATTTTTCAATTAAGATCACCTGCAATAGAAACTAGCTTAAACTCTAGTAGTTACAGAAATAAAACAAGATTTTAACAACTATAAATGATAAATATTTTATTTTAAGTTATTATATCTGCTTTCTGTTTCAAACACCTTAAAATACTTCCATACAGACGACACTTGTAAGCCGTAAGCACATAACTAATGCAAAACCATGAGAATGATGATAGTAACAACAGCATTACATATATTATATATTTTCTCTAGAGGAGGAATCAGTGCCAGAAATTATGAGAAATGTTTGTTTTTGTTCCGGGGGGGACTGAAAAAGCTAAATGGCGCCATCTGCTGTAACGAAGTAAAACTACGAATTTGGAGTTTTGCGTGAAAATTGAACGTATATTATGAGACGTTGCATATTTTTTTGCTGCAATCACCATATGACCAAAAATCTGGATTATTATGGATTTAAATGTTGATTATCTTGGTTATAAAAAGCGAAACAGCTGGGTTTTAAAATTCCTAATTTATGCCAAATTAATTCTATGACTCATGAATCTAAAAATGACCCCTGGGAAATCAGAAAGTTGAAAAACCACACATATTTGCCGAGCAGATAGTGTTGATTTTAGCGCCCTCTTCTTGAATCAGTGTGGAAATACAGGTGATGTTTAACCAACAGGAAGCTTCTGAGGTACACAAACTTTGCTGTAGGTGCAGATTAATCTAAACCTTTGAACATCTCCCTCTCTCTCTCTCTCTCTCTTTTTAAAAATTTCCCAGGACTCCCGGCTGCTGCAGCAGAGAGATCAAATTGCTCTCCACCGTCTCCGCCGTACGAGGCCTTTCTCCCAGCGCTGCGCGGCTTCATCCTGGTCACCACCGCTCAGGGCAGGCTGGTCTACGTGTCTGAAAACGTGTCTGAATATCTGGGTTTCTCCATGGTGAGTGTGCGGGTTTTATCCTCTGTTAGTTTGAGCATCTGTTGGTTTAACTGTGGAGACACTAAACGCCAGCTAAAGTGAATGAATCTGCAGGATTCCTTAGCTGAGCTTGCTGTGACTTTTTAACAGGCAGTAATCGCTCTGAATGACTGTTTTTCGGTGCCAGTTCACTAAAACTAGATTTTAACAACAGGATGGGACTGATTTTTAAACAGAGAGATAAAAACAAAGTTCACCACAGGACAGGAGAAATGAGGAGGGTGGTTTAGGAATATAGATGAGGGGGAAAAAGAGAGAAAGAGGAAGGATTTAGAGATTTACAAAAAGTGCCTTGTCCAGTCTGGAGTTGTATTTCAGGTGTTTTTTTCTGCATGTTGGTCTTGAAGCAAAAACTTCTTTGTCCACAGGGGGGCGCCAAAATTTAAACAGTGTGAGAGTTCCGTACAGGAGCTTTAATTCTGTTGTATTCATTCATAAATTTGTGGGTTGTTTTCTGCAGCTGGATGTCCTTCAAGGAGACACTTTTTACGACATGGTGGAGCGCTCTGACGTGGAAACGGTGAAATCACATCTGGACTCTGAAAACAGCTCATCACCAGGTAACGTAAACAGCCTCAGTATGACTTTAAAACAACAAAGTGAGGCAGTTTGACATAATTCTGTTTTTAAAAAAGGTTAAAAAAAAACAGATCTACTTTTTCTGGAAGAGTTTAAAATCATTTTAGTCACTAATCTTTAATTTCTCCACAGAGAGGAGCTTCGTCTGCCATATGCAAACCTCCAAAGCCTTCAAGCTGCAGCACGGCGGCTGCTGCTCGATTCTGGTCAGAGGAAGATTCCAGTCTTTTCCTCATCCCTCCTCTTCCTCCTCTGTCTGCCTCCTAACTCACCAGCCCCTGTTTGTGGCCCTTTGCACCCCCACCGCCGACCGCCTGCAGAGCTCAGACTCCGGCTGCTGCCTCAGCTTTAACAGCGCTCACAGGCCTGATATGAGCTTCACTCAGGTGTCACACAGGTAGATCCTCAGAGATCCTCATTTAAGAAGCTCAAACTAACAGCCGGGTTGTTTTGGTGGCTGATGAACATCTCTCTATCTCTCCTTTGTTAGTGTTTCATGCTTTCTGGGGTACTCTGCAGAGGAACTGGCCGGTCGCTCATGGTACAGTCTGGTCCATCCTGAGGAGCTCTCTGTCTGTGCAGCTTCTCACAGGAGTCTGAGTAAGTAACCTGCTCGAACCTGGACGAAAAACGGTTTTTAATCTGGCATGACGAATCAGAAAAGATCGGATATTTGGGAGGAGATAGAAAAAAACTTTCTGTCTGGACTGACTTATTTTTCTGGCATTTTCTGACTTTTACCACCAAATATATTGAACTCTATCAGTGAAACTTTGACATTTTAAACCTGTTTTAGGGGGAATTATAAGTGTTTTTATTGTACTTCTTTGCATGTTGCATGTTGAGCAGATAATTGCTTATTGCATGTTAGGAAAGTGTGACTCCCCTGACTGGTTCACACATCAATTTAGCCGAGCTGCACAACAAGGCGTCTGCGCTCCAGAGATAGTTTATTAAACGCCTGAAGCTCTGCAAGTTTAAACCGGGTCCTTCTCTGCTTTCTACTTAACCGAGTGGGACCTTCATCCACACATCCTCACTAGCTTCTGCATGTAGAAGAAGGCTGATATTATCCGGTGCATGTCATTATTTTTGTTTGTGCGTTTTAATAACCTGAATATTTGCTCCTTTGTGCCGTCCAGTGCAGGCAGACCAAGGATTCCAGGTGGAGATGGTGCTCAGACTCCAGTGTAAGGATCTGTCATGGACCTGGATCTACACTCAAGCTAACAAGCTCTCTGAGCTGCAGGGTGTGAGCTGCACAAACTTCATCATCAGGTACTAAAACGTCGCTTTTCCAGGAGAGCCGGCTGAGATGAAAGTGTGAGAAAGTTTCCAAAGTTTCAATCGCTGACTTTGTTTTTGTTTTTGCAGTGAAGCCGAGGCCAGATTTCTACAGAAGAAGATAAGAAGTGAAGCCTTCAAACCATCGAGCTCCTGCCACCTTCAAGCTCAGCAGACGCCTCAAAGCGGCGCTAAATGTCTGAAAAGGCGAAGGACGTCTGACAGCCAGAGTGAGGAGCAAAGTGCCAAAGCTAGGAGAGAGTCCGAGAGAGATGCTTACTATGTGGCGTACGCCGACAGCTCACCTGCTCCCTCAGGTGACAGCCTCGCTTTCTTCACCCCTCCTTACAGCCCCGCCTCCTCCTCCTGCTCCCCTCTGCAGCAGGAGGAGCTCAGCTGTGACCTCCTGATGGATGTGCATGGGTACACAGATCAGCTCCTGTCCTCCCCTGAGAGCTCCTTCCCCGAGGCGGCGCTCACCTGTCACCTGTCACCCACCGCCCCCCCGCCTGCAGCTGAACAAGCCTTCGAGCAGTCAGCCTTCGTCCCCCTCACGGCTCGCTCTCCTCTCTCCTCCTCATCGCTGGCGGTTGATTTCCAATCGTGTGCATCAGACGTTCGCTCGGTTCCTGACTGCCTGTCTCTGTCTGACCTGTGCTCAGAGAGCTCAGCGGATTGCGCTCTGCATCAAGACGACCTCAGCCTCCTCCAGGAGCCACAGGGGGGCGAGCTCGTGCACTCACATCATGTTCCCCATCATGTGCTGCCCCTTCATTCTGGTCTTCTCACCCCCAACCAGTCTCCAACCCCCAGAGAGAGTGACTACAGCGAGAGGGAGCAGGCGGAGATCAGCATCCTGGCTCAGCAGATCTCCTCCCTGGCGAGCAGCTTTAACTTGTATCACTCTCTGAACCCGCTCCAGAACATGGTCCAACCTGCGCCCCCCACCTGTCACTGGCCTCTCCACCCTCCTCTTCCTCTAAAACAGCAGGTCTATGATGACGGGGTCTTTGAGAGCATCCTCAAAGACTTGAACATGGTCCCGATGAAAAGCAGCACGTCCAGCTCTGGTTTTACGCCCCTCAGTTACCAGCCGGGTTTGAGTGAACCCCGTCAGCTGCAGGAGGAGCTCCTCAGCGTCTCCTTGACCCTCCAGGAGCAGATACTGCCGGCTGAGACGCTCATGGATCCCTTCAGTTCGCAGCTGGGACGCCAGGACCCAAACACTGAGTTGCATCAACTCAACCAATACATGCAGAGAGTCCTCCGGCAAGGTGAGTGTGCAGCACAGGATGGAGTCTGATCTGTGAGTTTCAGGGATAAAATGAAACCAGGGCCGACCCGAATCATCGCAGAGGCATTTGAGAAAACAGATTAAGTCATGAATTCAAATCATTTAATTAAATGACCTTTAGTTTAACCTCCTGTCCTATAAAAAGCTGCTTCAAAAGTTTCCTCCGCCTCAGAGGTTCCCAAACTTTTTGTGTTATGCCCCCTGCAGGATAAAAAATGTCAGGCTTTCTAACGAGCAAATAGATCACAAAACAAGCCGTGCAAAATGCATCTTTCTTTCCAACTCTTGGGTCTGATTTTCTACTTTCTATGTGTCAGATACTTTCACCACCTCTATAAATAAAAAACAGTCCTTAATTTTTAGATCTTTAACTCCTTATTTGCCAGTTTGTTTGCATTTTGTTATTGATATTTTTTATGGGAAAAACCTCATGAAGTGATTCCCCTCCATAAAACGCTCAGATGGATATCTTTGTTTAAAAACACAGTTTGGGACATGTTTTGGGCCGTGTGACAGTCATAATAATAGACCGGCACAAAAAAATCACCACACTTAAATACATATTCATCAACTTTAAACGATTAATTCAAAGCTTTTTAGTGTTTTTATTTGTCCTTATCTCTTCTTCGATGGACACAAAACAACAAAACAACATAAAATGAGCAACTCCTTTTTTTGTTGTCATGTGGAAATGACAGATATTCACCAAGAGAGGGTTTCTTAGCTGGTACACTGGACCGGAAAGTCCTGAAATTTTCTGGAAATTTTCAGGACCTAGTGCTCAAAATGAATCAGTTCATACACAGCCCAAAAGAATTTTTTTTACACATAAGATTAAAGATTCACAAGTTTTATTGCCATTTTAGAGCATTTCAAAAAGTGAATGAAATTAAAGCAGGTGTGAAAGGAGCTTTGTCGGGTTAGAATTGAAGTAAACGCACAACTCTTTTGAAAGATATTAAAAATATATATCTTTTATTTATCAAAAATTGTATAAAAAGTTTGAAAAGTTGGAAGTCATTCATGCCTTCTGTCATGATTTGATCTCTTTAAGTTTTTACCTGGTTTTGTTCTTTGAGTGTATTTTCTGCGTATTGTCCCTTGTGTTTCTGTTCCCCTGTAGTCCAGTCTTGTGAGTTTTCAGTTTGTGTTTGACCCCGTTTCCCTCCTGTTCTCTGTGTTTTATTCTTTAAATCAGTTTTTAATGTTTATTTCCTGTTTTATTTTGTAGTAGTTGATTCCTTGTGTTTCTAGTCTGGTATTACCTCCCTAGTTTTTCCTCCTTCGTTAATCACTAACGAGTTTCACCTGTGTCTCACCTGTTGCTCGTTTCCCAGTCTGTATAATATAGTCCCTGTCTTCCACTCTGTCCTTGTTAGTTCATTGTTGGATTTTTCTCTTTTTGTGGCATTTTTCCCATTTAGTTCATTTTTTTTTTGCGTTTGGGTCTTTTTCTTTGTTTAACCCTTTGTGGCTCCGTGACACCTTCTTCTCAAAATACTCTACAATCTCACAGTTGGTTAGATCTAGGAGCTGACGAGCTTAGCATCATTAAAGTGGCATACACATATCACAGTGATTTGGGACATGTTGAGTAATTTGCTGCCTAGCTAACATTCGTCATCAGACTGAGAAGCGGCCCATAAATCAGTGCTTTCCTCTTTATTCTCTGTTGGTTTTCTGTACTGCAGGTTTTCACTGACTTTCCTCTCTGTCTCTCTGCAGATGCCCTGGCTGAGGAAAACCTGTACTGAAATAAGTCTGTGACTTACTGTTCCTCCTCTTGTATGACATATTGTCACAGAAATCTACCTTCACTGGATTTGAAGACGAATGAGCGCAAAGACATTTAAAGGACGTCTTTACTGACTCGATGTTTCCCCTGAAGACTCATTCAGAGTGAGGGGTAGAATATAAAGCAGATTATCCTCTCTTCTTTGAGCTACAGCTTTGTCTCTATTCCTCCAAACTGCTGTCAGATGGATTTTATTTCTGCTGATGTCTTATTTTTATGAGAAAGGTACTTTTTGAACGGGTTCTTTCCACACTTATATGCTGAAACAGGAGTCTATTTTTCTTACAACACAAACTGACCGCAGTTTACTGCCGAGCACTTTATCAATGTCACTGCCAAAAGAGAGGTATAAACCAGAAGTTTTGTGGTTTCGAGGCGGAAGCGCCTGGACTCAGAGCTACCTGAATTATTTTAAACACATAAATCATTCCTTGAAACAGAGAAACTTTTTATTTTTGTGCCTTTAAACACAAAGAGGAAACTTTCTAATGTTTTATTTGATCTAAATGTGCCAGGAAAGTTTAGTATGAGTGAAATAGAAAAGAAAACAGTGATAAAATGATCATTGTAGACTCAACACCTACCTCAGCGGTACATTAAACACATTCCAGGTCCAATTTTTGTTCCATTTATTATATTTATTTAAAAAGTACTCACTTAATAGTCTTAAAACTGTCTTAAACTTTAGCTGTCTTTTTTTTTAAATCATGGTACTGGATCTCTACATGACTGAATGTTTCTATGTTTTTGTGTTTTACCTTTAATTCGCTTTAAAATGTAAATAAACCAATAAAACAAAAATCTGCTCTGCTTGATGAGACACATCTTAAAAAACATGTTAAGTTCATATATATTCTGATATACAGTTCATACTGAGTCCTATGAAGAAGATCAGCAATCATCAGCAAAATACCCAGAACACATCAGTGATTATTATTTATGTGACACTGCAAAGCTTTTGAGGAGGATGCAGCAAGTGAAGTCAGGCTGAAGCAGTTTGAGAGTGTCAGATTAGATGTGAGTAAGGTTGTGCAATCTGCAGAATACATGCAAACTAAAAAAACATCAAGTGTTTTTCTGTGCTAATTTAGATAATTATTGCCTATAACTAAAAAATCTTAGATTGATATCCTGTTCCATCAAAAACTTGGCTCTGCATTTTTCAAAACCTGATAATCAAAGATATTTGAGCGTATCAGGTCTACTTCAGAGTCTTGTAATGTAACTTTGAGTCAAGTCACGTCATGTTTATCAAATCGATGGTGCATGCACACTAAAGACCGTCTACGATGAAAATCATGTTTTTCTTGTTTTCTACATGTTCATATGGCATTTTTCTGATGCTACAGGATGTATTGTGAGAAAACTGAGTGCGAAATTGCATTTCAGTCAGGATTACTTTAGTCAAAATTAATTATTTATTACAAGCAAACATTTTTACTTTGGCGGTATGGCTCTGTTCTGAGGGTTCCCTGCCCTTCCATGCGCTTGCATGGAATGGCTCCAAGAGGGGAGAGCTCCTCCCCTTCCTTCCATGTGCGTACATGAGGAGCCAGGCAGAGAAGCAACAGCAAATAAATTTGATTAAGATAAATAAATAAAAATCCCCGAACAGAACAGAGCAAGCATCAGTGACAATACATATGACACTGGTAAGATCAGACACAACATAAACAGGAGGAGTGGGGGTGGAGGTGGGTTGCAGAGTGGTTGCAGCAGGCAGATGTGAAGAGGGTGATTACCTGAGCTGTCAGCTGACTGAGGGCTGGCTTAAGATCAGCTGACTGTAGCCTTAGCTTGACTCCGTGACCTGCCTGAACTACCGCTATGCTTCATTTAAATAAAAAATTTGGCTGGAAGAGAAAAGTGTTAGAAAAAGGTGCAAAAGCAGCAGATCTGACAAGATTGATTTGGATTTATTTTAATAATCTGTTGCTTGCGATGAAATCCCCTCAATCTGGACACTTATTGTTTCTCTTTGTTGAGCATTAAATCATCCTCTCAAACTCAGACAGGAGGGTTTCTTGCTGTTTTGTGTTAGTCTCTCCTTCTGGCACTCATTTCGTTTGAACCTGATTATGTTTGGTGTAGGAGTGCAGTTTAAGGGTTTCATGGATGCTTCCTTTGCAAGTTTCCAAATTCCTGCAAAGCTTCAGGGGATCCTTTGGTAAAGCTCTGGATCTGGTGCGGCTGCACTTCAGTATTTGGTTCATATTTTCCCGTGGGTTTCAAACATCAGGTGAACTTTTAGAGGTGATGAGTCGCCGCAGCTCCAACCTCTCCTAACAGACGCCGTGTCGCCAGCTTTGGGCCTCACAGCGGCGTTTCTCTGTGACTATACAGCAACTTTGAATATGGATGAGATTGAGGCTAATCCTACGCTGACCCAGTTTCATAACTACCGAAAAATTGAGTTGAGAGAAGTTGCCAAATACTGTGGTGTTCCTTACCCGAGTACACAAGCAGAAAGAGATATGAGAGCGGTTATTTTCATACCAACAGGAGCTGAGGAGAGTGGAGGGAGAACTTATATCTCCTCCTTTGTCGGCATGGGGACTCCTTCTCACATCGCACCTAATAAAGTGAGTTATTGTTGATATAAAAACATTGATTAATGCAGCTTTAAAACCTCCTCTTTTATAGGAACATTATATATTCATGACAAACGGCTCCTCTGTGAATGGTTTATGTGCTCTCTCTGTATCTGATCAGTGGTTGTGGTCAGATAAACGTCTCCAGATCACCGTCCTCTGAGCTCCTCACTGCTCCACATTGATTTTTACATATTGTGGCTGCTGGACCAATAAGAGCATTTAAACTGTTCACAGAGGGAATCAATGACATGTCTGCTCAGGTGTGCATAGTCAGTGCAAACATAAAGTTCGACAAAGGCTGAGGTGTGCAAAAAAACAGGTGTAGCTGTAGAGACAGGCTCATGCTGTGTACATGAAGGTGAACAAAAGCTCTACTGCAATGTGTGCAATGCAGAACCTGCTTTTTTCCACCTGTGCAAAAGCAGCCACTAGATGGAGCTATAGCTCCAACAGGCTGCAAGTGACATAGATATCTGCATGCCATTAGAGCGATAACACTTAAACAAGGTAGGAATAAAGAGGCAGAGTGTCTCTCTCTCTCTCTCTCTCTCTCTCTCTCTCTCTCTCTCTGTGTGTGTGTGTGTGTGTGTGGTGACTGTAGCACAAGAGGACATGACTCAGTTCATTCATGAGCAAACAGTCCAGATGCCTCTCCGTATCCATGGAGACCTAATTAAGAGTGATGTCTGTTGGAGGGTACAATGGCAGATAAAGTTCCTAACAAGTCCCCACATCTGCTGCCTGCAGCGCTCAGCGTCACCTGGAAAATTAATGATTTCCCAGAGGCCCCGTGACATGGAGCGCGGGCACCAGTGTGTTGGTCCACGCCGAGGAGACTGCAGGAATCCAGATTATCGCACCCGACACACAAACACACATACACGGTAACTATCGTCTCACTCCTCTGTCTCTAACGATCACAGACTGAGCAGCAGATACACGATTATCAGAGGATCATACATGGCTGTGTGCTAAAGCGGGCCTTTCTTCTTAATAACAGACCCCTTTGAAACATGTTTCAGTTAACCAGTGAAACATTTTCCTTTTTTCGTTTTTTCACAGCTTTGTAAATTTAAACCCTGTGACTTAAAATTCTTTGTGAGATTCACTGCTGCCATACAACTGTTGGCCACCAAACATTTCCCCCCGAAAACTAACAGTTATCGCTTTTTCCGGCTGGTATTAGTTGAATTGATACCACGCAAAAAATCCAGTGGATAAGCCCCAAATTAGGCCATGCTTCCTGATCAGAGTAGAAGTTTTAAATCTGGCCAAAATTCCTTCAGTGTAAGGCGAGCTTGACTTGGTGGTGTTAGACCAGAGGCTTAGTCTACGAAGCAGGATTACTGCTTAGCGAGGTACCTTCGAGAGTAAGTTCGGGGTTTCCTGTTCTACTTCTTAGCGAGGCGAGTCTCCATGGCAACGCACGCTGAACGGCTAACCTGCTCCGGGCAGGTAAAAACCCCGCCCACTGGCCGATGAGCTCTCTCGAAAAATGGCTTATTCACTCTTGGAGGATCCTGAGGAGCACTCCGGCGTGCGAGAGTTTTCAGGGACCGCACGGACCCACTTACTTTTCCGGATGACCAACTTTATGAAAGGCTCATATGGCCTACATATCACACAAAAAAAGTAAACATGATAGGAATGAACAAATGAATGAAATCATCTTGGAAATGAATTAGACATGTCTGGCGCATGTAAAAAGTGCATGTTGAACAGTGCTATTTCAGGGTGATAATGGCATCAACGATTTTTTTCGATTTTTTTTACTTACGCATTGAGACTGTCGGCAATTTTCTGCCAGCATCCTTCCGTGCTTTTGCAGCAGCGACGGTGTTGCTTTTGGGGTTTATGATAGATTTGAATTCTTCATACTTTCACATGATCGTCTCCTGCTCCTTGTTTGTAAAGTCTGCAGTCCTTCGCTCTCTGGCCTGTTCTGATGCTCCAGACTGGTCCATGTTCGCGATTGGTCGGATGCGGCGGGCTCCGCCTTACATCCGTGCACACGCTCATAGCAAAGCTGGATCCACTTACGAGGTTGATAACCAGCGTCTTAGGACCGTTGAGCGAGACCACTGGCTACCGCGCTAAGTTGAGCGAGGTAGCAAAATTACATTGCGGTCAATGGGCAAAATCGCTGCCCAGCTTGGACAGTTGGTCACCCCTCTGGCCAAGGGGTACAATTTTATGAGTTGAAACCTCATTTGTGAGAAGCAGGACTTATAAACCTCCATTTTTATATATTTTTTATGGCTGTGGAGTGAAATTTGTGGGCATGGGAGCGATATATCCGAGCTAGGTTCTGTCGATCAAAGATGATCTTCACACTCTAGTGATGATGTCACCCACTCTAGCTCTTCCAATACACACCCATTTTAAAGCCTGAAATTTGCTGAAAACCACAAGGTGCTTAAAGCTAAATTATGGAAAAACTGTAAAAGATATCAATACATTAAATACAACATTAATAGTTGACAAGATTACGAACAATTTAAAGCAAAAATGAGGTCTGTGGGTGAAAGTATGCTGAAGTTATAAGGCTGAGAACGTGGAAGAGAAAAGGGAAGAATTTGAAGATTTCCACATTGACTTCCATATTGAAAAATTGGTACAAAAAGTTAAAAATTACAAAAAGTATAAAGGGTAGAAAGGTAAAACATAGAAGCCCTCATGTCCTGAAGGAGTAGAAAGTGGAAAGTGGACAAAAAATGGCAAGCAATGCCCACTTCGTCAGCGTTGCGTGTCAACCAGCAAATAGGTTGCTTAAGATTCATGCCAAGTCTATTTTTGTTGCTCTACCCTCCAAACAAACGTCAATCCAAACAGGTTGTCAAGCACGAAAACCGCGCATGTCATCCAGTAAATTTCAAAATAAAACACCATATGCTGACTCCCAACTGTGTATCGGTTTGTGTAGATGAGAAATACTTCCTGGTTATGGATTTATCAGTAACACAGAACAATCCGACGGTCAATCACTGATCAATTTGGATCCCAACAGGACTTTTAACTGCTAACTCTGTCTGAAGGTAACAGCACAGCATAAAGGAACACAGTTTACTTTATTAAACATGAGTAATCCTGCAAAAACCAAAGCTTTAAAGTCAGGTTGCTTTTTTAACATACAGTAGAGGCACTCATCCTGAATGTGAGCAGGGATGCAATGCTGGTGAAACGCGCTTAACACGGATCCTGTATGTTTAAGGTTCAAGAACTGTGGTGAAATGCAGTGATTTGTGGTAGAGAATATCTCGAGAGTGAAAGTATTACAACTATGCATGCATCTTAAAAACATTGCCGATGTTAATTAGGAGCTTAAAAGTTGCAGCAACAAGTCTCTTTTTTTTATACGAGGAAGAATTGTTTTCTGAAACAGGAGCCCAGCCTCTTTTCACTGCTGGTAACAAAAAATAATTAGTAATAATTAATACTTTACATCACAAGGGAATTAAAAACACCGGGAGATACACAGTAATGTATAAAGCAGAACACACACAAAGAGACACTCTCATTTCACCAAAATCACCTGGGTTAATCTGTCACTTAATTACACAGACCTCCCTCCCTCCTCTCTGAGATTGAATTAAGACCACGTGAGATTGAATTAGAAGAATCAGCCTCACAGGAGCGAGGAGGTTCTGTAGGAGTCTGCCGTAGGAGGAGGAGATGAAATGTACACCTGAGTCTGTGATTCCTATCAGAGATGTGAGAGGGGAATCGGGGCAGAAGATGATACCACGTTGTCAGACTGACAGAAAAAAACATCCTGAGCCCTCCGTCGGCAGCTCTGCCTCGGCTCTCAGGTGGATGTCTGGAGGGCGGATGCCGATGAAGAGGAGCATCAGTGCAGTTAAAGACAGCAGCTCATGGATGGATTCTTTTCAGAGCTGAGCCTCCCACAAGCAGCCGGGTCTTTATCTCCTGCCTCTCCTGTGGATCTCACACATGATTACCTCATTTACCTGCAGAAAGAGAGAGAGCGAAAAAAACACTGTCGATTGAGACGGGCTGATTTCAGACAGCAGGGCCTCAGGTGGCTTTGCCGTATCTTCGTTTATTTACCGGCTTTATGCTCTCATTGTCGCAGCAGCCGGGCTTGTGGGCCCCGTTGGAAGCTTATCTCTAGGTTTACATTTATTTTTGAGATGGATGAAGATGTGAAAAAGCCATCCAGAGAAGAATATATGAGCCTGTTAAACTCTGGAATGAAGCGGTGGCATAGATGATTCTCTGCCAAGGTCACAGAGAGGAAAACACGAGCTGTTATTACATGTTAACCATTTTATTTTCTCTGGCTCTGTGTATGAAATCTATTTCTCTCCTCGTCTCAACGTAAAGCAACCTTTCATTGTTTCCAGTGCTTCACATCTCCATCTCTGTAACTCTGCTGTCCCACTTTTCAAAGGACTCACTTTCACCTGACTGCAGCGTGTTCAGTCAGCACAACACCGACACTGTAATTGGGTTAAACAAAAAGACTCAAAATAGACTGCAGCCTGCTCCTCCAGGCTCCTTCTGCTCGTCCTGCTGCCAAGCCTGAAGCCAGAGCTCAGATTCAGCTCTGGATCAGCGTCATGCAGAGTCAACACATCCTGTTGTTATCCACCAAAGAAAAGGCCGTACAACCAGGGAGGGGAACGCAAACAGCAGAGCCGACATGCATATGGATGTTTGGTTTGTTATCTATCAGTGAGGAGTCTGCAAGTGATGAGATCCACGAGGAGAGTCCAGATTACATTACGATGTGATCATCTGCTTGTGAAAATGAACATGTTTGACTGTAGTTTTGTGGTTTTACAGTATCTTAAACAGTTTTTATAGGTTTATACTGCTGTAGAAACTTTGTTTTATAGCTGCAGGATTTCACCGAAATCAACCTTGGCCCTAATGGCACTGTGATAGACATGTGGCTGGATCTGAAAAATCCATCTTCTTTACTAAAGAGACACTTGACAAACACAACCAAGGTAAAGAGTTTTCTTTCTCAAGTCAGGTCAGTTTATTTGCAGAGGTACAAAGTTTAACTTCAAGAAAGCTTTCTTAAGAGTTGGTGTTACAAAACAAGGAGACGCCAAAGAAAACTTAATAAAAAAAAAATAGCCTCCATATTTGTGCTGCATCTCTGCAAAATGCAAGGTGAAGATGAATAAATGCAATCAACTGCTACAAACTGTGGTTTCCAGGTCAAAGAAAGGCAAAATTGAAAAACCTCGGAGGAAACCGTGAGGCTTGAGAGAGAGAGAGATCTTCATCCTTGTGTGTCCATCAAACCAACTGTGACAGTCAAATTTCATGTCTTTGCTATGTTTAAACTTACTTTAACATCCATCATGTCAGTCAAGTTTCACAAGTTTTTATTTTTCAGTACATTAATGTTGGTTAAGTTTCCTTTATTCTGTTAGCTATTAAGTCTTTAACACTTCTGTACAGGAAACCATGGTGACTGAATCTGAGCGTAATATATATCGCGACAATCATTTGAGTCCGTTTGCGTGATTCGCGCGTCAACAGACTGCTTAAAAGCTGTGGATAGCCGCTCATGCTGATTTCAGCAGTGATCATTGCCAGTTCAACCAGCGGGATCAAGTGATAGACAACAGTTTTTCACAATTTACCAGATAATCTGGCCTCCTCACTCACTTTCCTCCATGATGGGAATTCGCACTGCCCAATTCGCGCCATCTAATCTGCATGATTTGCATTTTTGCACTGACTTTACATGTAATTCAGTCATGTAAATCACTTTATTCATGCTTGGTGTGAATGCCCCTCTCCAATCTGCATCAATAAGTTTTTAAGGAGGTGCATGTCTTCTTCGTGGGTTGAATTTTCCAGTTGCTCAGTATCTCGTGTTCACGTTGTTGCGTTGTTGCATTTGCCCGAAGATGTGAGCGCTGTCATTATAATCGAGCAATACTCACTCATTCAATGTTGGGCGTGCGTCTCTCCTGTTTCGCCATCTCTCCGCTTCATCCTCCTCAGCTCGAGAGACTCTTAAGCCTCTTCAAAGTCACCCCCACTCCCCACGGCTTTCCTCTCAGGGGCTCTCATAAGGGCTGAAATCCTCCTCAAAGATCACGACTTACGTTTTAGGGAAAATTCAGAGAAAACGTCATGAATCGCAGGATTTTCTTAGAATTTCATCACCGGGAGAAACTCTGGAGACTAAGACAAGCCACTGGAGTCTGATAAAACGGCTGTAACACACAACCTGATTATCAGAGCATCAACAAGAACACTCTGTTATATTCTTTCTGCAGAATCAAACTACCTCTTGTGTATCTTGTGAATCCACCCTCTCTAAACTCGGCCTCCTCTGTTCAGAAAATCAATTCTCTTTTTGCAGGAATTCCAATAAATACACAGAAGCACATGGGTGGATCTGCAGGCTACAGTTTGATTTTTCAGGCACGGCTGTTGTCATTGCAGTGATGTGGGTCTTTAAAGTAATTGATGAAAATGTCTAAGATTGCCGGTTGCAGCCCTCGTGTTATTGTACATACAGGAAAGCATTTCATATAGGGGTTGGCGGATATACAACTCTGTGTTGTAAACATGTTTTTCTCTTTCAGTTCCTGCAGAATCCCAGAAGACTGACAAAAACACGCAGACTCGAATCAGGCTCAAAGGCTTAAATGTAATTAAAACTAATGAAATAATGAGATGAGTTTTAATATAAGTGAATGAATAAAGAGGATCAAATGAAAAGCTTTATCACAAGTTAATTTATGCATATCTTAATGAGGAATCACTCGATTTCTAATATGATGGTTGGGTGTTTAAATCAGTTTGATGACCCAGTTTTTAATGAAGGAATAAACAGCTGGATTTACACCCTCATCCTCACAGTTACACTTTCATATCTGTGCTCTCACGTTACTCAGCTATCAGGATCCTATATGTTTACCGGCTCTGTTTCCTCTTCTTCTGCAGGCTCTTTACTGAGACCTTGTCAGGGTTTTAATGCCTCTTTACTTTCACCCTCCTCACACTATCTACGCTACAAAAACATACATTCATCCGCCATGTCTGTACTAAACCTCCATCAGGTCAAGGATTGTTGACAAAGGCAGCTGCATCTTCACTGGAGAGGTCCACATGTTGGATTTGGTTTGTTTGCAGCTGAAGTCACGTGTTTTCCCACTTGGTGCATGTGTCTCAGTCACATGCAACAAATAGTTATGTTTCGTCAAGGCTTCGAACACCTAATAAACACCATGCTATGTTTGAGACGGACAGACCAGGAGCCGAGGAGAAAGACAGCAGCACCAACTGCTTGAGAATTTGTTATTTTGCTTTAGTCATTTCCAGAAAATTGTGATTTATTTGTGTTTTTTTAAGACAAGATTTTGCCAGAGGATCTTAGGTCACTTTCACACCTGACCAAGCGGACTTGTTTGGTCTGCACCAGAGTTCGGATGAGCTTTCACAGCTGCCAAAACGAAGCGGAATATTCAAGGACACGAACTCCGGTCGGTTTAAAGCGGACCAAACAGCTCTGGTGTGAAAGTGACCTTAGTTTTCATATTAGTTTTATCCCTGTTCTGTGACTTTTTCTCCACTTGCACTGTCTAAAGAAATTAAAGAAATAAAGATGCAGCAAATTGTTACCAAAAAAGTCAAAGTACTTTTGGTTGAAATGCTGCTTTAGTAGGGAAAATACAGCAGGCTGCATGAGCGTAGTACGGCCTCCAGAGTCAGTGATTGGAGCTGCATGCTTAGCAACAGTCTGTTCTTCATAGCAACGGTCTGCTATCAACCATCACATACTACATATACTAATGTTTCGTCAAGTCCTCTAACACCTAATAAAACTATGCTGTTTTTGTTACAGACTGACCAGGAGCCGAGGACAAAGACAGCAACACCACCTGCTTAAGAATCAGTTTTTTTTTTAGTCAAGATTGTGTCGGAGGATCTTTCATTTGACTTTCATCTGTGTTCGGTGACTTTTTCTGCACTTGCACCATTTAAAGAAATTAAAGACATTTCTGGTGTCACCTGGAAACTGCTTCATGAATGTTCAGTCATGAAAAGAACTGTTTTCCTTCTGCAAGTCAGAATTAGATTCTCTGGACCCGCTTTTTCTCTCTCCCACATATCTGTTTTTTAAATAGATTTGAGAAAAGTATTTCTGTCTGCATGCCTGAAGGTTTGACAGCAGGGTGCAGCAAGGCTGGAAGAAAATTCTGCATTCTTAGGGCAAATTTTGTAAGAGGACTGCCTGGTTTCTTGAGGCTGACAATAAATGTATGCCGAACATCACAGGTACTCTTACAATGACAGAAATAATGAAATCATATCTTGACCTTTGCCTCACCTCAGCCAGCAGTGTTCAAAGTTTTGAGGTTGCATTGAAATGTGACAGTTTGAGCTGCTAAGTTTTTGTCACATACTGAGGTTTGTTTTTGCAAAAAAAGACAAAATATTCATAAATATGCTGAAACTTTTATCAAAGAAGTCCAAGGCCATTGGATATATGATTATGTGCTAAACATCCTGGTACTTTTGGTTGAAATGCTGCTTTAGTAGGGAAATTACAGCAGGCTATGTGAGTGCAGTTGGGCCTCCAGAGTCAGTAATCAGAGCTGCATGCCTAGCAACAGTCTGTCCTTCATAGCAACGGTCTGCTATCAAGAAATAATACTGTTATTGCAAAATGTCACCTCGTCTGCTGGAATTAAAGACTGCATATTAAAAAAGACACATCAAGGGTTCACAGACTGTGATGCCAAAAGATTTAGAGCGCCCCCTTCTGACTGGTTAGAGTATAGTTCATAAACCATTCCTTTCTTCTTTAAAATACACACCATTCCTTTTTACAAACACGTTTTTTCTTCATTATTGGTTGGTGTCATGCTGATGTTCGTCCAAGTGCTCGATTTCTTAAAGAATATTTTGAAGAAGTAAAGGAGAAACTGAGAGAAAACTTAATACTAGTACAAGAGTTAATGAAATTTCCAGAACCAAGAATGTCTCAGACTGTTTCTGCCTGAGGGTTTCTGCACTTTTGATGAGTTAAATGCTTATTTTGGTCAGAGGAAAGAGTCTGAATTTGTCCCAACAGTCTAATATGTGAAGGGTTAGGGTTAGGGTTAGGAACTCTGGCTTCACCTGAGCTCTCACAGCGAGACCACTGCAGTCATCTGCTCTTCTGAATCCAGTCTGACCTGACGAGCAAGAGTGTGAGATTACTTTGTCTTCTTTCCTCCCCTGTGGGTGGCGGTTCTTTAAAATTCATCTCCAATCATCACAGCCTTTTAATGCTCGGTTAGCTTGATTTTAGCCCTCATTGATAATTCTTGACTGAGCAGCCCGCTCAAAGGGCACGAGGCCTCAGCTCATACATAACAGAGGCAATATTCAAGCCGAACACTCCTCTCTGTGCTGAGTATCCAGGGCGAAACTCTGATTTCCAGGGATTCTCAAACATTTCCACACAGAAGTCAAAAGATTTAAGTTTCTTCCCTGAATAATTCATCCTCCACAGGATGCTGGAAGCTCTGAGGATTAACATATGTGTTATGTAGATATTATCCCCAGAAAACATCAGATGAGTCTCCTCTCCTTCTTAGAAACTTCTGTCCAAATATGAGGAAAAGTTTGGGTAACATTGGGGATAAGACTGAACTCACAGAGATTCAGAGCTGTGCAGACAACACTCAGTCTGGTGGGGGTCAGTGTGGGCGAGTGGAGACGCTGATCGAAGGATGAAGAAATAAAAGCAAGGCGAGGATGATGAGCAGCCTGATAGCGTCCCTGCGCACCTCAATGCCACGCTTTCATTTCCATTTCACTCGACCTTTATTATAAAAAAAACACAAAGGACATTTTAAGATGGAACAAACAGCACGGCACACAATCGGCTTCTGTTTGAACTTTGTGTTTGTGGGAAAAAAACAACAGGAAGCTGAGGATGACACGGGCTCTAAGTGCCCTTAAAGTGTTTGAGCTAAAGAAGATCATTTAAACAAGATTCATCCACTGTGAGGTCTTTCATCTTCACATTTCGGTGAAGATTCCTGCAATAAAGCTCAAAGACGACTGAAGTGTATTACCATGGAAACAGCAACAAGCAAGGATCTCTGCAGGTGATAACAAAAGGGCTGCTTTCAGCATCCTGGTTAATATATCTCAGATATAGGAGAGTAATCCGACCTGATTAAAACCATCAGATTAAACCAAATTATGGATTTATATAAAATCTCTAGATTCAATGACTCTGCTTTCAACTCACACTGGGAGAGCAGAAGGCAGCAAAACACAGTAGAGGCAGATGACTGTCTAACACCACTCTGGTTCTGCTCGAGGTTTCTGCCTATTACAGGAAGTTGCTAAATGCCGCAAGATGGGATCAGAGCGGGTCTGATTTTACAAGTTTAGACTTAAACTTGTGGTCTGGACCAGCTGGTTTTGTAAAGTATCTAGAGATAACATTTGCTGTGAGTTGATTAATTGTTTGGTCTTCCTAATTCTTCTACTTAATGATTTTGATTTGTTTAGACTCATACAAAGACCCTCAGTCAATCAGCAATCATTAACATAATTCAGTTTTAGGAAGTTGATAGGGAACGAGTCGTTTAACTGTGACTTACTGCACTTTTTGAAGATTTTAAACATCCATTTTTTCATGTGACAAGAAAAAACTTTAAGTTAGAGATGCATTTTAGGCCAAAATGACAAGTTATATAGTGTTTCCTGTCCCTGGACGGATATTTTTACAATCTTGTGATTAAAAACCATCACAAAAGCTTGTGAAAATTATGACCAAAACATCTACTAAAATGAGCACTAAATAAAAGTGCTGCTTATTTGACAGGAATTTCAGAACTTTAAAGAGTTTAGCAGAGATGACACAAAGTTCAGTAAATTTACAGCTCTTAATGTTGTAAACTGAGATTTTTTACTAAATTTGACGTTACAGGAGCTGACAGCATGTCACAACTTGATATTTTATCTGAAGTGAAGCCTGTGCAACTTTAGACAAACTAATCTAATATTCTGATCTAATCTAAAGTTTTGGGATGTTTTTAATACCCACCTGAGGTTCAAGTTAAAAAAAAAAAAATTCTTTCTCACAATGATTGTCAAAACTTCTCATTTCCACACCAGTGCCAAAATGCTGCCAGCCATGTGGGAGTTTGTCTGCCTTTAGTCTGCTCTTCCACCCGCGAACTAGGAGCTTGTTAGTTTCATTGTCAATGTGAGATTTCCGTTATGAAAAATTCACCACTTAAGGGGTTACTTAAATTACAGAACCTACATGTGACATTGCTCGGTACTTTGAGAACACAAACATGGCTTACCTTGATCCAGTCAGGGCTGCTTCACTGGGACTAGGACAAGAACAGTAGTCCAGATAATTCACCTAATCAAGCTGTAACTGTGACTAGACTTCACCCTGCATGCAAATGGACTCTACTTAGTTCGGCTCTACTTCGTTAGACTTCTACAGGGACAGGATACTGCATTAAGAGGGTGCTCCAGTACAGCTCTTCTTTGAAAAACCCTGTGCACCATCAAGGTCACACTTTGGCTCCTCACTCATATGAAATCAGTGTGAATCACGGGGGTAAAACTGGAGATAAAACCTCGAACATTGAGGAATTTCTGAAACCGTAAAATAACCTTGATAGTTTCTCTCTCCTGCTTTACTGGCACCTTCGATTCATTGCCCATCCCAGACTGTTCCTGAGTCATTATACATGTTAAAACCGTTCAAAGACAAGAGGAGACAAGACCTATCCATTCTGCTGATCACTGTTTAGCTCGTCCAGCCCCCGCTAATGATGATAATTGAGGACAGCGCCGCCTGGGCAGCAATTTGGCATCACCAACTAATTAATCTATTCATCTTACTCACAGATTAATGTGCTGACGCTGATCCTGGTGACCTCTGGCGTGCAGGAGCGTCTGTCCCATGATCAGGTCATGCACACACACGCCTCCTCCTGCAGACTGCATGAGAATCGAGGTTGTTCGAAAGAAAGTAGGATGACAGATAATGTAACTCGGGCTGCCTGCCAAGTGGAAAATAAAGATGTAATTAGAAAGTAAAATGAACACAGCTCTGCTACTGTACACATATTTTATCGTGCATCCCCAGAGCACACACACACACACACACACACAGTCCTCGCACAAACAAATGGCTTTGTGCTCCAACAAACAGAAATCAATAGGGATTTCACACAGCTAATCAAACATGATCTCTTTGGATTTTGGACAGGAAAGCAGTTGATGTGAGTTGAATAAACCTGATTCAGCGTCAGAGCAGTCACAGGCCTCCTGATCTGAACTCCTCGAGGGGAACTCAGAAAAACTCTCAGAGCCAAGCCGGCAGAACATTTTCTCCCCGCTCTTCTTGCTCTTTGACTTCTCCGTGAAGCAGATAGTGTGTTATCACCACATGTAGCTCCTCTGTGTTCCTGCTCTAATCCCAGGTTTATGACTCAGGCTGCTCAGGTTCAGTATCTAATGGGGGCTCTGATGGCTAACGGCGAGGCATTGGCACAGGGATGATTTATAGTACAGTAGTCGGCGAAGGTGTGCTGAGGCTGTGCCACCCGGGGAGATGCCTTCCATCACATCTCATTTGCATTCACTCGATTCCTGCGCTGACTATGACTCACAGCGCTAATGAGGCCCCCACAGGACAGGAGAGCGCTCAGCTCGCTGCAACACTACTGTTTCATCCCTCAGTGCACAGAGGCTGCACATGCATGGAGCTCTATTTGATCTGTCAAGAGGTACGAGAGCTCTGAGACGTTTCTCTTGTTACACACGGTCATTTGGTAGTAAACAAACTTCACATCAAAATCTTCAAATGTCATGTAAAGTGTAAAATCTGTACTCAGTCGCTTGGCACATTTCTGCACAATTGTAAAACCTCTTTTAATCTTGCTTACTGTAGCT